TATCTAGTTGCACAACATTAGCTGAAAGATAAACAACAACACGAGTGCCTTGGATGCCTTATTTATGCCTCTGCCCACTTCAAATTTTTCACCCCTTTTTTTTAAACCCGCTCACAGCTGCTGTTACAGTATTTGTCTAAGTTATTTGCCTGTACATTTGCAAAATTGATGAAAACATCTTTTCCTTCTTCTTACATAAGTTCAGCATTAACATTTGTAACATTTTACATCATCAATTAATAAATATCAATGATCTATCACATAATTTTGGAAACCTACAGGTCTGATCTTTGATAAAATCCATAAAATCAATATTTTGAGAACTCTTTCTGGGAGCAAGATCCCACTGGATTAGCCATTCACTCTTGACCTGCTGTCGTAAGTGACAGGAGAGTAAACAAATGGGCAGAATTCTTGTGCCATGGAAAGAATTTTCACATTATCATTTCTATCATTTTCTTCATAATGAAATCATCATCTTCTGAGAGTTGTGTGCATTTCTGGACTATTTTTACTCTAAGACTAATTATAGGGGGCTGGGATTTAGGAAATCAGAATTTCTTTCACCTTTGAACTTGAACATCCCCATCTTTCTATCAAAGGTTCAGAAATTTGGCATACAGATTAAAGCCCACCTAAGTGCAAAAGAAAAAAAATCATTGCTCTTTTAAAGTTTACTTTTTTGTGGTTATATTCACAGATATAGCAAATCAATTATCAAAAATTTTGTAATGCAGTTTGTTTCAATATTACATCAAGAAATGCTGAAAACAGTTGTACTCAGGGCATAGACATTTACTATGGTAACTCCAATATGTCATTGGAATACCCTTCAAAATGCGCATGTCTAATTTCTGTTATTTTTTCATTTATAAAACCAGTACAACTTGTAGTAATACAAGACAACTTAATTTCTGACACCACCCCGCCATGCTATAAATCCTTCCTTAAAAAACTTACAGGTGAAGACGAAGCTCAAGTAAGGGAAGATAAGATGTTGCCTAAAATTGCCAGAGGAGAGGGTTTTTTCTCTAGCTCAAGTGCACCAGAAGTATATAGGAAGCTATCCCACTGTCTGCATATGTGGATTGCAAGACATCTGGAATCTGACGGGGAAGTTAATGCGTGGTGATATACACAGCTTCGTCTTTCCCCACAGGCCAATGGTGCTTGAAAAAAGCAACTTTTTGAAGTTCTTGTTTCTCGCGTTTAAATGTCTGATTTGCCCCAAAGGATCAAAATGGAAGGAAGGGTACTTTTTGAAGTTATGGAGTCATGTAGAATTTTGGACTATCTTGCGGTATAGGTTTGCCATTCCTACAGTTACTTCTTTTATGAAGTCACTGCCCTTCACAGTCTCCTGGTGTTAAAGATTAATCTTATTGGATGGAAAAAATGCAACTTTTGAGTCAAATTTTCCAGAAATATCAATTTAATTTCAACTTAGGAAAAAGTCAGACTAAAAAATAAAAAAAAAGGTTTATTGAAACCACATACCTCTAAAATCTACGTTAGTTTGAAGATTATTTTTGTGAGTTAACATTTTGAGTGAGACAAATTAATCAATTGGTCAACAGAAAAAGGCCTTACCATACGTTGCATATAAAGAAGCAATGGTAAGAAATGGATAGCTGGCATTCACAAAACCCATTCTAAAGAGAAGGGCCAAAGATGAGACTGCCGTTTCGTGAAAAAGTCACTGATGATATGGCTTAGGTCCAGGGGGCCACCTTGGCCAATTACATTTTTGGCTCCCAAAAAGTTGGAAATCTGCTGATAGTCAAATAAATCTCATTTTTGAAAGAATGATGGGCAGATGAACAGATGGCATGGGAGAGATGTGTGTGTGTGTGTGTGTGTGTGTGTGTGTGTGTATGTGTGCGAGCGAGAGAGAGAGAAAGAGAGGTGGGGAGGGGGGGGAGAGAACACATTCAAACATATTTAAGGCTCTATTCCCATAGATTTTAGATCGATCTACCCCACGGGGAGTCTCACTAGATTTCTTTCAGATAATCCGACTTAAATGTCCGTCCCGCCTACTACAAGCTGTAAGAGGGTAATCAACTGTCGTGTCCGCCCGGCTGACAGCTATTTAGCGTGGACCCCCAGGGAGTTAGGTCGATCTAAAGTAGGTCGATCTAATCTATGGAAATGGGTTGTATGTCTAATCTCCACAGTTGCTGCTATAAATTTCAAACAGAACCACTCTCACCGGGCAACAACTCCATCACCACACCCAATTTCATGGAACTATTTATTTAGCATGTATCCTAATTAATTTGACTCTAACTTGACCTCTAGATCACCCCTGCTTCCAGGTACACATCTGGTCTGGGAGTAACTTTCTCTCACCTGTGCTGAAATGCCCAATGCCAGAAGTTCCCCAGTAATTTTCAGAGCTTCATTGTTTCAACACTTATATGATATATGATCAACATTTTTTACATATCCCCTTTAGGAAAACCTTACTTTCCAAATTATACTTAACTTCTTTTTTTTTTTTTTTTTTGGGGGGGGGGGGGGGAGGCAAGAGTCGAGTGAGTGGCATTAACCAGCTGTGCACCCCCTCCCTCCTAGATGCATCATAATTCTTAATATCCATCCAGGTAATAAAAATCTCATATCCAAGAATCTTGATATTCGGGTGATAAGGCAGAAGATAGATTAAAAAATACTGGAAACTTCTCATATAGGCATCCAGGGAAAAACCCCATGCCCATGATTCCAATTTCCTTTCATCTTATTTTTCCAAAAAAAAGAGATAAATTACAATAGCATTCTGACATATAGAATCATGCCAAGAATCCCATATCAAGTCTTTTATGTCAAAGATTTAGATGGATGATTAAATTACTATGGACTGATATCTTACTCATATACATCCGGGTGCCACACCACCAGCTGAAAAGTTGGACTCCCAGAAATGCATTACTTTAAGTGCTTCTGAGAATCTCTAGAAACAGTTTTCTGTGTGAAATGTGTGTGTCATTTCTGCTTTCTACCAATGCGAGGGCCACAGACTGTGCTGCATGCGTGTAATGTTGATAGTTAATTAAAGCGTCTGGGTGTAGGCAGTGAGTGAGATTTAACGGCATACCTGTATGGTCTTTCAGTGTTTTTTTTCTTAATAATACAGACAGATGTGTCTTTCCTACATATATATCTGTCTACTGACTCAAACTAAAAAATTAATTTTTCTAGAGCTGATATTTGATATTTGATCTGAAAGCAGATCTGATCTCCCCCCCCCCTCTCTCTCTCTCTCTCTCTCTCTCTCTCTCTCTCTCTCTCTCTCTCTCTCTCTCTCTCTCTTCACCTCTGCATGTCAGAAAAAAAACAAGTCTTACTCAAGGCTACATTTCAGGCCTGTGCCAGCATCTCCAAAGGGGGGGGGATCTTTCTGATATAGTGAAACTTTTTTACCCCTTTAGTTGATTTAAAGTAAAATATGGAATAAAATTTAGATCAAATTTTGATTCAGTGTGGATTATTTTCCAGCCAAAAGAGCTATAGTTTTGAACCCCTAAGTTTATGTGCCTGCATTTATTCTTCAGTACCTGTATTTCTCATAGCATGATCAGAAGACTTTGATCCACTTTTTTTCTCCAAGAAGCAAAATCAAAACAGCATATAAATCACATTACTCACCAGAATAAATATGCAAATCAGACATATCTCACCAATCGCTTCACAAACTATAACTAATGTCAAACGTCCACCTCTGAAATCATACCAAGCCAGTGACCGATGACTGTGACGCCTACATGATTACAGTGTATTTGCCATACACTTATTTTTATTAGCTATTTTGATTTCCCCCTGTTTCATTCACCGCCGGTTCCCCCAGTATAATTTGAAGAAAGCTTTTAGGCAGTCTGGCAAATCCAGTGATGTGCCTTCTGCCAGAGTTAATGCACTTCTTATTCACCTGTGCTGACCCTAGGGTCACTCTGTGTTTGCAAAGCACCATTCATATGTTTGCTCTCTGTCAAACAATTTTGAGAAACAGGACTGGTGCTGCACTCTGGTGGAGATGATATAAACTTAACACAATATATTTCACACGATTTAAAACCAAAAAATGTAAAAAAAAAAAAAAAAAAAGAAATCCCAAAGTGGTACAAGTTTATTCTAACAAAAACATTTTGAAAGAATTTATAATAATAACTGCACAGTAGGATTCTTTTGTTAATTATGTCAAAAATGTTCTGAGACTGGGCTGGTGCTGTGCTCTAGCGAGAATTTTTCAAACTACAGGCACCACCTCTTTAATATAACAAATGCTGTTGAATAATTATTTCTTTATAATTGAGCAAGAAATATAAAAAACAGCTGCAAAATGATGGCAGAGGTGGAATTAGGATTACTTTGATTCAGCCATCTTTGATGCATTGTGCTGCACTCTGGTGAGGATTCAGTTAACTACATTTAAAGATCTACTTTGCAATACTGGAAAAAAGGATAGCAGAAAACAGGCAAGCAAAGTTTTAATGCAAAATCATTTTGACCTTCATGTGGATTTAATGCTCATTTAAATGACATAAGATGCCTCCTTTTTTCTCAATAATACTATAAAATATAAAAATTTTGAAAATGGAAATCTGAAAACATGTTTATAAACAATATAGAACAAACAAAAATATAACATCTGAAAGTGCATAAAGTTTTCAAATCAATCTCAAGTAAAATGTTATGAGAAACTCCTAATATAAAACAATTACCACATCCACTTCTGTTTTTTTACCTCCCAAATTTCTGTCTCACCATTATACACTATAATACATTTAAACATGCATGTTTAGATATGAGAGCACAAACATGTTGCTAGAACAAGGCAGTCTGGTATATGCAAATCAGCAAATAAGGGATCTGTAAATAAAGAATCTTTAAGGGGAGCCATGAAAATCGATTCTTGCACATAACATTCTCCCTCTCTCTCTCTCTCTCTCACGTACACACAAACACACACATGCAAGCACACACCAAAAACTGTCACATACCTGCGTCTTTAGTATTCACGGTGAATTGATTCACTTCGTTGGCCATGCCTTCCTCCAGTCCTTTCCCAGAAACCTTCACTCTGCTGGCATTTCCCAGCTCTTTCTCGCCCACGCTGATAATAAAAGGACTGTTGCGAATGGGTTGCCCATTCTTGTAGACGTTCACCTTGTGGTCGCCTTTCTCTTGGGGAGTAAATGAGATTCCTGGAAAATAGAAAACAGGGTCAATGTGTCAAATATTTCAAATTTTTTGTTTGCTTGTCTCTCTCTCACTTTTTTTTCGCAAAAAGGAGTGGCTGCATCAACACATACATGCCTATCCCAGTCAAAGTGTTGAATATTTTACCTTCATTCTGCATTGTAATTTGAAAAAAATATTAGTAAAACATGTCTTCAACAACCCAGAACATCTGGGACTCCTCTATGTTGACTGTGGGGTCAGGGTGGTACTTATTTTTACAAGGCTGCTTTCTGCAAAATTTGAAAATTAATTTATAAGGACAAGGCGTCAAATATTTTTTAGGCTCTCTCTTTGCCCAGATTTTGTGATTTTCTTTCACCTTCAAGAAAATCAGTAAAATATGTATTCAAAGATCTTCAACAGATGCAAGTGATTGATCATTTTGCATTTGAAAGTGACATTATCAAGTCATTAGTTTCAGCAAATTAGTTTCAGAGGAAAAAATATGCCTGGGGTATGTTAAGGTCTGATAAAATAACTGATAACAAATGAAACAGCAGCAAAAAAATTATTACTCCCAAAATGCTGGAATTTCAAACATAATCCATACTCAGGTAAGATTAACACACACGTCTGTAAGCAAAGAAACTTGAGGTGAGGTAGTTTTGCTTCAGAAACAGGTCAGATCAGGTCAGGTTTGGCCAGATCAGACATGGTTGGGCTAGGCACAATCTCTGAGCTCAACTAACACAATCTCAACCTGACACATTTTAACCTTCCAATGAAATTTGATTTTGATGACACACAACATTTTCACGTGTACACCGCTTCCCCAGTATAATTCTTCTTTCATTTCATAGCATTTAGCCTAAGAAAGGATCTATTCACTCAAATCGATCAGCATGAAATGAAATCTTGGAACAATACAATGCAGAATGCCTCAATGAATATCTCATCTAGTTATATTCAACAGCAAATAGTTGTCTTTGCATAAGTCAGTACAGATATAGTGGGACAAAACATTTCCTCTTACTTCTTATTTATCTTTGAAGGAAATTACCCCACTAATTCTTACCAAGATGTCCATTGGGCAGTCTCTTGAGGATACAGGGCTGCTCTTTCCCAGATGGACTAATAATATTGGCTGTGAGAGTGGAGATGTCCACGTCCTTGATGTCCAGGGAGATGTCACTGCTGGTACCTACGGACACCTGCGACTTCTTCTTGCCCTCTCCTAGAACATACAATACGGTGGGTTGAAATGTGAATTCCATTTGGTGGCAAAAGTGGTATAAAAACAAGGTTATAAGAAATACAGGGCAAGTAGTGCAACTCAGACCGATAGGACTTTCATAGTGTTCTTTTTCCTTTAATTGAAAACCTTTATTATTATACCAGTATGATAAAAATCCAATTCTGTTCGCTACCTTGAGCACAAAATATGACTTAATACTGAAAATTAAACATCTGATATGTTTCAACAATACTATTTCTACTTCATGGATGGAAAAAAATTACATACTGCAATAACGAGGGGGGAATAAGAAAAATTAACACTAATGACAACAATATAAGACTGACCACAAGTAGCCACGATCAACAGACAAATTCTGACAAAGACACACAGAATTAATAACAGCATTCAGGTTTAAACATACAATAATATCCAACAACATTACAAACACCTGAACCCAACAATCTCAACATACAAACATACAAACAAACAAACATCCATCCATATAAACATACAAACATCCATCTTTCCACCTCACAAATGATAATGCAACACATCACTGAATCACTGTTGAAACATACAAAGAATAAATACTTACATATTTGTGTGTCCATCTACCAAAGCATTGATAAAAAATACAATAGTATGTAATACAGCAGAGAAAGAGAAGATTTATTCAGAAGAATTGAGTTAAAATACAAGAAGAAATATTTATTCAGGAGAAACAATGCAATGGAAGAGAAGGAAGCCCTCTGATATAGCATTCATAACTATTCAGATTTGAAAGTAACACATCTAATTATCAGTGAGTTTCTGAAGCTTTTGCTTGAACTATTCAAGTAGAGAAAGAGAGAGAAGCCTATTATAAAGTTCTTAACAATGGCTACTATTAATCACAAATGGCCCATAAGAGCATTCATACAAAAGCCAAAAATTTTGCATACTAAGCATTAACATGCTCTTTAAAACTTCTGCAGTTAAATAACAATACATTATTTACAAGGAGCACAACTTCAACTCCTGTATCTTTTGATATGGAATGAAAGAGAAAGTAGAAAGATAAAAGATCTAAAATTTAAAAAATCACGTTCAAATACACCTACGGAAAAAAGCAGTTTTCAGTGAGAAAAAAAAAGCCGGAAAATGCACGAGTCTGTTTCAGATACAGGTTACCTGCAGGAGCCCCCTGGGTGGGTCTTGTTCGTCTACGTCTTGGCTCTCTTTTTCGAGCCTCACCCACTGGCACCATCTTCTCCCCTTCTGGGCCTCTCTGTGGCCCTGCTTCATCTCCCAGGTAATACCCATCAGGAGATTCAGGGGGAAACTTCCCCCCATCTTTATATTGAGCCGCAACTGGCACCCTCTCCCCTTCAGTGCCTCTCTGTGGTTCCACATTATCCCCAGGGTAATATCTATACACAAAAGGGGTATCTTGGGGTAACCTAACCCCACTCCCATGAGGAGGTTGTTCACTTTCCCCCTCCTGGCCATCTCCAGGCACTGACCCTACTGGACGGTCATATAGGTAGGTGGACACTGGCTGGCCACTGGGTATGGGTGATGGAGACCGGTCACGTGCTGATGGCATGACAATGAACTTGACTGGGTCTCTCTGCTCCCATTTACCCTCTTTGGGTTCAGCTGGAGATGGAGTAGTATCAGACACAGGGACTGTATATCTCACTGGGATGCTATTGTCCCCCTGAGGGCCTGAATCTGGCTTTTCAACCCTGGGGGTCCCATGTCTGCTTCTTGGTTTAGCAGACTCTGGGGCACTCTTTCCTGGTTTATCTTGCTCCGGAGTGATATCTTGGTAAATGACATTAGGTTTCTGTGGAGTTGGAAATTTATCATCTTTATCTGGTTTGTCACCCTGTTTTCTGTCTTGTCTAGTTCTTGGCTCTTTGGACTCAGGAGTGACATCTTGGTATGTGATGATGGCTCTCTGTGGGGTTGGAAATTCATCTCTGCCTGCTGCTTTATCTTCACCTGGTCTGTGTTGCCTTCCTTCTCTATCGCCCTCTGGTGTTCTGTCTTCACCTGGCCTACGACGCCTTCTCTCTCTGTCACCCTCTGGTGTTCTGTCATCTTCGGGTCTATCAAGCCTTCCCTCTCTGTCGCCTTCTGGTGTTCTATCTTCTGGCCTACGACGCCTTCCCTCTCTGTCACCCTCTGGTGTTCTGTCATCTTCCAGTCTGTGATGCCTTCCCTCTCTGTCGCCTTCTGGTGTTCTATCTTCTGGTCTACGACGCCTTCCCTTTCTGTCAACCTCTTGTGCTTTATCTTCAGGTCTATGCAGCCTTCCCTCTCTGTTGTCCTCTAGTGTTCTGTCCTCTCCTGGTCTGTGACGCCTTCCCTCTTTGGCATCTGAAGGTTGTGCAGAAGGTTGTGGCTGTTTTCTTGCTGAAGGTAATTCATATGCTGTCATAGCCCTCTGTGGGACTGGAAATTCCTCTTCAAATCCCTTTTTAGTAGGACTAGAGTCAGGCACCTTATCTGGCCTTCCCTCATAACTCTGCTTTGCTCGCTGAGGCCTTGGGAAGCTCTGTTCACAAATATAGGGGGCGACACTGTAGCCAACAGGTTCAGATTCTGCACTGCCTGGAAATGATGTGCTTTGTGGATTTTTATGTAGATACTTGTCTTCATTCACTGGGATTTTCTTATCCATTTGGATGTTTCCCTCCCTTGGTCTTTTAGGTTCTGGGCTGACACCTTGGTACAAAACAGTTACTTTCTGAGGAGTTGGAAATTCATCATCTCTGTTGTCTGGCCCTTGTCGATCATCCTGGGGCCTTCCTTGTTGGTCTCTAGGCCTTCTAGGTTCTGGGGTTACATCTTGGTACAAAACAGTTACATTTTGAGGAGTTGGATATTCGTCATCTCTGTTGTCTGGCCCTTGTCGATCATCCTGGGGCCTTCCTTGTTGGTCTCTAGGCCTTCTAGGTTCTGGGGTTACATCTTGGTACAAAACAGTTACTTTTTGAGGAGTTGGAAATTCATCATCTCTTTTGTCTGGCCTTTGTCTATCAGCCTGGGGCCTTCCTTGTTGGTCTCTAGGCCTTCTAGGTTCTGGGGTTACATCTTGGTACACCACAGTAATTTCCTCGGGTTTTGGAAATTCACCTCCTCGTCCAGGTCTGTCATTCTGGGGCCTTCCATGTTGATCTCTTGGTTTTCTAGGTTCTGGAGATACATCTTGGTACAACACAGAGACATTATCGGAAGTTGGAAAGTCATCATCTGGTCTAGGTCTGTCACCATGAGATGGTTTTTGCCTTTCATCCTGGGGTCTCCTTTGCTGGTCTCTTTGCCTTCTAGGTTCCGAGGTTACATCTTGGTACAGGACAGTAACTTTCTGAGGAGTTGGAAACATATCATTGTCTGTGCCTGGTCTTTTTGCTGGGTAACTGTTTCCCTTGCCATATTGTTTGTCACCTGGTATACCTGCTTCAGGGGTCATGTCTTGATATGAAACGGTAGCTTTCTGAGGGGTTGGAAACTCGTTTTCCCCACCAGTTGGTGGCCTGAAACCACGTGATTCACCTTTCCTGTCTCTGGGTTTCCTGGGCTCTGGAGTCACATCTTGATATAGGACACTAGCTTTCTGAGGGATTGGAAAAGCATCATCCCCAAAGCCTGGGCTGTCTGTGTAGGGACTTTCTGGCCTTTTTCTTCGGAAGTTCAGGAGTCACATCTTGGTAAAAAATAGCTGCTTTCTGTGGCATTGGAAATTCATCATCATTCTCTGGACTTCTTTTACCCTTACTAGGACGTCCTTGAGGTCTACTACGTTTGCCATCCTGTCTATGTTGTGGTAAATATTCCTCCCCTGGGCCTAGTCTATCAGCAGGAAATCTTTCTGGCCCTCTGCCAGGTGGTTCAGAGATGAAAATTTGGTTTGTGACAGTAGCTACCTGTGGTGTTGAAAAATCATCATCCTTTTCTGGCTTTCCCTTCCCATAAGCTCTGTCATCTTGTGGTCTTACCTGTCCAACATCTCGTCTGTCCCTCTGGGTGCTCGATTCTGGGGTAATATCCTGATACAGTACAGCAGCTTCTCGAGGAATAGGAAACTCATCATCTTCTTCACTACCTGGGGTATATTTATGAGGTCTCTTCACCTGGTGTCTGCCTTGTTCATCAACATTTGGAGTAGTATATTGATATGTGACAAATGGTTTTTGTGACGTAGGATATTCCTCATTGCCAGCATCTGGCTTTCGACCCTGGGGTCTGCTTTCTTTTCCCATTGGTTTACCAGACTCTGGGGTGAAATCCCGATATGCGATAGTAGCTTTTTGTGGGGTTGGAAACCTATCATCATCAGAGCCAACTCCTTTATCCACAGGTATGCGTTGTTTCACTCTGGTATTTTGAGGCTCTGGAGTAACAACTTGATATATTATATTTGCTCTCTGTGGTGTAGGAAACTCATTTTCACCATCCCCTGGTCTTTTGTCCTGGGGTTTATACTGTCTGTCCCCTAGTCTTTTTCTCTCTGGGGTAATATCTTGATACATGACATTTGCTCTCTGTGGCATTGGGAACTCATCATCATCTTTTACTCTTCTGTCTACTACAGGGATGTCACTTTGAGGGCCCTGTGGTGTGCCCTTCTCTTTGTCTAATGTTCTAGGCTCTGGGACCATATCTATATATGAAACCATGTGTTTCTGTGGTACTGGGGACTCAACATACTCATTCAGTTCAGGCTTTTTCTGATAACCAGGTTCTCTATCCCCTGGGATATATTTTCGATCCCTTGGGATTCCACTCTCAGGGGTGACAACTTCATTCTTCACATTAGCCTTCTGTGGTGCTGGTGACTCATCATCACCATCAGTGCCAGGACGTGGCCTGTCACCCTGTGGTTTCCTAGGTGTGTCCTGTGGTTTTAATGGTAAAGCTGAAGCCACCACAATCACCTGCTGAGGTTCTAACACCTCACCCCCTGGTGGGATGTAACTCTGTTCTTTTCTATCTCTAGGTGTAGGCATTCCCTTACCTTTCTGGCCAGGAACCTGTCCAATACCTTCATATACTCTAGGCTGCCTGACAAGCTTTGGTACTGCTTTTTCTGGGCCTCTGGGTTTTGCCTTCATATCTGGGCCACTGATGTTCCCAGGCTGGGGCCCAGGTTTTCTATCAACAGGCCCAGAATATGGATGTCCATCAGGATAATCCTCTTGGTGAATTATATGTACAGGCTGAGATTCAGGTTTTCTATCAGTAGGACCAGAATAAGGATGACCAGCAGGACTCATATCTTGATAAACGATGTTCACTGCCTGAGGCCCAGGTCTTTTATCAGTAGGGCCAAAATGTGGATATCTATCTGGGCTCATATCTTGGTGAATGATATTGACCACTTGGGGTTCAATTTTTCTATCATAAGGAGAAGCACTAGGTATGTCACGTTTTCTACTTTTCTGTGTGATTCCTTGGGGTCTGTTTCTCTCAGTTATATCAGGAACTCCAACCACCTGTTCCCCAGGGTGTGACCTATCCCTAGGGGTGGGGTGGCCAGGTCTGCCATCTTGGTGAATGATCCGAATTTCCTGTGGCACTGACTGGGGTGCTTCTTCTGAGGAAATGGGTTCACCTGGAAAGGTCGCCAGCGAAATAACTTGTGGCACCTGTCCCTCCAATTTTGGGGATGGGCGCTGATAATCATGGTCTTCTTTTGGCCTACCAGTACCTTTAACTGGCTCATCTGGTTCAAAGGAAGCAATTAACCTTTGTGGAGTGGGAAATTCATCATCAAAGGGTGGCACAGGCTGACCTGCCCTTTGGTCTGGTTTTTGTCTTCCCTTCTCTGGCTGGGGAGGTTTCACTTCACTTTTAAATGACTGTGCAGGAATCTCCATTGACTTAGTGCTAATTGGAACATCTGGGTGGCCAGAGTATGGTATCCAGTCATAGTCTGGGGCACCTGATCCTGGAGAAACAGTACTGGGGCTTTTGGTATCTGGTTTTCTTGATGCTGGAGATTCTAAACCACTTTTTGGTTTCTTCAACGGTTGCTGTGCTTTTTTAGGGATGTCACAATGACGAGTTAAGGAAGCCTGTTGGGGTTCTGGAAAATCACTCTCAAACCCTGGTTTATCAGAACCCAATTGGATTTTCTGTGGGACGGGTAAACTCTCTTCATGCACAAAAGGTTCCACACAAAATCTCATTGGTTCTGATTCTTTAAGCATTTCAGGTTTACCTTTCAAATCCTTTTCTATGACATTTGGAGGCTGCTTGGTCTCTTGTTGTTTGTCAGGAGGTTGCTGGCCAGACTTACTGGCATCAGGTTTCTTTTTACCAGGTTCAGCAGGGACCCATTGGGCTTTTTGTGGGGAAGGAAATATTTCATCCTCAGCAATGGGCTTCATGTTAATCAGCAGGGGCTCTTGTACTTTAACACCATCAACACCTTTGGTATCTGTTTTTGGGGGTACCTCAGTGCCTGCAGGGGTTGGACCCGGAGACTTAGAGAATACAGGTATCAAGTTTGGCTGATCTGGTTTACCAGGAGGGGTCGGATACAAACCAGGCCCATCTTCAAAATCAATTGGCACAATTTGAAATTTGAGTGTTTCTGGTGGACGTTTTGGGAAACTGGAGAGTGAATCAGAAATGTTAGTTGTATATGTCTTCCGCGTCTCGGTGATTTTTTGTATGATCTGTGAGGACGGCAATGACATACGCCTCTCTACTAGTCTGACTGGGATATTCACATCAAATATATCCTGGCCTTGACTATAGGGGGCAGCAGTAGTACTATCACGCTGTAAAGGAAGAGTGTAGTACCTCTCTTGAACATTTTCTGAAAGTGATGTTTGCAAATTTGAAGTTAGACCAGTTTTAAATACCCCTGGTGAAGTAGACTGCCCAATGGGTAAAACATAGAAACTTCTCCCTAAATTTTGAACTTGGGGTGGACTTGTGCCCTGTGTCACAGTTCTGCGTACCCTGCGAGTCGTGGTTTTAGTCCTTTTGGTCTGAGTTCCAGTATCGGGATTGTACTCTATGGAGCAAGTTTGGGTTTCCTCCACAGGGTGACTATTTCCATCAGCCAGGTGCTCCGTATGAAAGCGCTGAATTTCTGAAGACGGGAGAGAGTATCTCCGCAGAAAATGCCTCTGTGTTCTGTTCTCTGTGACATATCTTCTTGTGGTCGTAGAAGACTCTCTGACTGTAGTTGTTGTGGTTTTCACAGATGCCATGATGTGAACTGTTTCCTATAAAAGCTGTCTGATGTTTCTCTTTTCTATATTATTAAGAAGTGTTGCAAAAAAGTCAAAAAAATTACCACAAGTACAAATTGTACATTGCCTGTCTGCCCAGTCTGTTATGCTGATAGAGTCTAACTCTCATAAGGTTACCAATGCTGAGCATGAAAAGCCTCCTCTTTAACACGAATAAGTACAAGTAAACATTGTAGCTGTATAGAGCAGGGTTATCTCCAGCAAAAACCCCAGCATTCCTGTCTGTATAACTGAGAGATACTGTTGCCAGTGCGGCTCAAAGAAAGTTCTACTTCATCGTCTTCCTCTCACACAAGACTAAATCACCTTGTATTTATGTGGGCTGAGGGAGTCACTCTCTGTTTAAGCCTGAGCCAGAAATACATACTTCAACAAGCTCCAGGAATTCAAAGGTTAAACTAAAAAACGGCTCAAAACACCATCTCCAAGTTTAGGCAAAATTACACTTCAATGATGACTCAAGCTAACATTCCCTGGAGAAACTGCGAAGATTTAAGTCNAGCAATTAACCTTTGTGGAGTGGGAAATTCATCATCAAAGGGTGGCACAGGCTGACCTGCCCTTTGGTCTGGTTTTTGTCTTCCCTTCTCTGGCTGGGGAGGTTTCACTTCACTTTTAAATGACTGTGCAGGAATCTCCATTGACTTAGTGCTAATTGGAACATCTGGGTGGCCAGAGTATGGTATCCAGTCATAGTCTGGGGCACCTGATCCTGGAGAAACAGTACTGGGGCTTTTGGTATCTGGTTTTCTTGATGCTGGAGATTCTAAACCACTTTTTGGTTTCTTCAACGGTTGCTGTGCTTTTTTAGGGATGTCACAATGACGAGTTAAGGAAGCCTGTTGGGGTTCTGGAAAATCACTCTCAAACCCTGGTTTATCAGAACCCAATTGGATTTTCTGTGGGACGGGTAAACTCTCTTCATGCACAAAAGGTTCCACACAAAATCTCATTGGTTCTGATTCTTTAAGCATTTCAGGTTTACCTTTCAAATCCTTTTCTATGACATTTGGAGGCTGCTTGGTCTCTTGTTGTTTGTCAGGAGGTTGCTGGCCAGACTTACTGGCATCAGGTTTCTTTTTACCAGGTTCAGCAGGGACCCATTGGGCTTTTTGTGGGGAAGGAAATATTTCATCCTCAGCAATGGGCTTCATGTTAATCAGCAGGGGCTCTTGTACTTTAACACCATCAACACCTTTGGTATCTGTTTTTGGGGGTACCTCAGTGCCTGCAGGGGTTGGACCCGGAGACTTAGAGAATACAGGTATCAAGTTTGGCTGATCTGGTTTACCAGGAGGGGTCGGATACAAACCAGGCCCATCTTCAAAATCAATTGGCACAATTTGAAATTTGAGTGTTTCTGGTGGACGTTTTGGGAAACTGGAGAGTGAATCAGAAATGTTAGTTGTATATGTCTTCCGCGTCTCGGTGATTTTTTGTATGATCTGTGAGGACGGCAATGACATACGCCTCTCTACTAGTCTGACTGGGATATTCACATCAAATATATCCTGGCCTTGACTATAGGGGGCAGCAGTAGTACTATCACGCTGTAAAGGAAGAGTGTAGTACCTCTCTTGAACATTTTCTGAAAGTGATGTTTGCAAATTTGAAGTTAGACCAGTTTTAAATACCCCTGGTGAAGTAGACTGCCCAATGGGTAAAACATAGAAACTTCTCCCTAAATTTTGAACTTGGGGTGGACTTGTGCCCTGTGTCACAGTTCTGCGTACCCTGCGAGTCGTGGTTTTAGTCCTTTTGGTCTGAGTTCCAGTATCGGGATTGTACTCTATGGAGCAAGTTTGGGTTTCCTCCACAGGGTGACTATTTCCATCAGCCAGGTGCTCCGTATGAAAGCGCTGAATTTCTGAAGACGGGAGAGAGTATCTCCGCAGAAAATGCCTCTGTGTTCTGTTCTCTGTGACATATCTTCTTGTGGTCTTGGAAGACTCTCTGACTGTAGTTGTTGTGGTTTTCACAGATGCCATGATGTGAACTGTTTCCTATAAAAGCTGTCTGATGTTTCTCTTTTCTATATTATTAAGAAATGTTGCAAAAAAGTCAAAAAAATTACCACAAGTACAAATTGTACATTGCCTGTCTGCCCAGTCTGTTATGCTGATAGAGTCTAACTCTCATAAGGTTACCAATGCTGAGCATGAAAAGCCTCCTCTTTAACACGAATAAGTACAAGTAAACATTGTAGCTGTATAGAGCAGGGTTATCTCCAGCAAAAACCCCAGCATTCCTGTCTGTATAACTGAGAGATACTGTTGCCAGTGCGGCTCAAAGAAAGTTCTACTTCATCCTCTTCCTCTCACACAAGACTAAATCACCTTGTATTTATGTGGGCTGAGGGAGTCACTCTCTGTTTAAGCCTGAGCCAGAAATACATACTTCAACAAGCTCCAGGAATTCAAAGGTTAAACTAAAAAACGGCTCAAAACACCATCTCCAAGTTTAGGCAAAATTACACTTCAATGATGACTCAAGCTAACATTCCCTGGAGAAACTGCGAAGATTTAAGTCATTAGATGGTAGAACTGACAAGATATTCTCAAGTCTCGGGTTTTTTCGTGATGCAATTTATAGATCACTGTAATTAACCGTGCCATGGATTTCCCTTGATTACATGTTCAGATGCTGCGTATTTTTAGAGAGTGAGCCGAGAATCCTGCGGTGAACTGGCTAGGAGTATCTTCACCTGGAAATGTCATGGCTTGTTTAACAGAAGGTGGGGGGAAGTTAAGGGGAGAATTGCCTCCCCAGACCTTTTCTATCTCAGCAAGAACATCCCCTTCCCCGCCGGATCCACTTTGTTTGAGCACTTAGTAAAATGACAGCTACGCTTATAATGTAGTACATTATGACGTTAAATATAAGATGAATCAAATAAAAGGGAGACAACTTCTAGAATCTACCTGGCAGTTCCAGCAAAGAATCAATCAGTACCTGTAGGACTTGAGCCAAAGCTGTAGCATTCTTGGAATTCCTACCAGGTAAGTCTGTGGGATGAGTTTAAGCACATAATTCAAAATAATATCATTCCCAAGTAGGTGGTTAATGTATCTGTGGGGTACAAAATAACACCTCTTGAGACATTCACCAACACCTACTAACATAAGTTTTACAGTAAATTATCATTCTAAGTGTTTAATAGCTTTACAAACACCCAGTTGGAAATGCTAGGCAAGGTACATTTGTTTTCATTATACTGTAATATTACTCTTATGTATCAGCAGCATACTTTTCAAAAATGAACCTAGGGTCAACTGCTGTTTATCATTACACTTATTTTTCTAGTGGGTGAATTCTTGCAAATGACGATTCCTCTAAGAGCAATTATGATATTTCTATACAAAATATGCTTTTAAAAAACCTGTCACGCTAAGTGTTTTTTCGCTGATCACAACCTCAATGCTTTAGCAATTTAAAAACACAACACTGGGTTTCAAATAACTTTATTTTCAATTAAAAACCTGACACAAGTTACAAAAACATAGAGGTGGAGAAACTTAAAATCACCTTTAAGCACTGATGCAAAGACGAACAGAAGAGGCTACATCTGGATACTGAAAGACTTGTACAGGAAAAGAGCTACAAGAAAAAACGCTGTTGGTTTTGAATGCTCCACCCATGGTCTGAAGGCAGATGATGATTTATAGAGAGCACCGTATAACCCATCACTCCATGCTGGTATCTGTAGCTAATAGGTTTATTCATTCATATAGCATTACTCAATGCTTCAGCATGAATGATAAACTACAGTGCCTTCAAAAAGGATGTATAATTTTGTCATCTTTTTTATTCTTTTTTCATGTCCTTTTGCTGTTAGAAAAATATGGCATGTAATAAATAATTTGTTAAATTTTATCTTATAAACCAAAGGTATTTGAGGCCTGTATGTTATAAAACATAAATACAGTTCATTATAAAAACAAAAACAAAGCAATATTGATTCTAATAAATAATAAATTCTGTATGTGCTGCTTATTTAGCAGTCAGAGTTTTCCTTATTTTCTTTTTCTAAGTTCTGATGGATACCAAGTATTTCCCTTTCCGTTTCATTACAACAAAATGGGTGCTAATGAATAAATAAACCAACAAATACTGTATGTGCTATTTATTCAATTATAGATTATTTTCCTACTTGCAGGTAAGATTGGATGTACTTGGATATCAAGCACAAATGGCTTGAAAATACATCTGCATGTCTATCAAAGGTTAGGCATCAATTTCTAACTTCAATTTATATAGTTTCTTCCATGTACTGATCCTATTGAGATATTTACAAAAAAAAAAAAAAAAAAAAAAAAAAAAAACAGTATTCTGAATTAACATGGACAAGGAAAAAACTAATAAGACTGACAAAATAAGACTGACAAAAATAATCTGAAAGATATATCTGCCACTGTAGTCTAAAACAACGCTGATTCAGACAGATAAAATTCATTAGTCTAGCATTTAAAGAAAAAACTGCCTTTAAAAACAGTGAAATGAGCAAATGCCAGCAAGATGATATATTGAAATATAATGAAAGATGCAGAAATATAGAAAACCAGGTACAAAAGTCAAATATACACATATGAAACACATACTGCTATACCACACTCCTTCACAGACACACATATCATACAAATATACTTGTGTGCTATAGTGTTTTGCTATTTATTATCATAATATAAATCAGTCTAGCACAAATATATCAGAAACACCAACCAAATATATGTGTAGCACAAAGACTTTAACAAAAAGCATGCCAGTCTAAGATGAATACATTTCAGGTGATTTGCTCACATTCATAGCACACAGTAAAACATGGGGTGTATATTTATGATATGTAACCTATACAAATGAAATGCATCTATCACCTACCTGCTGCAAGGGTGATCCAGAAATATATACCATGTCAAAGATCTCATACATATACATACCCACATACAGCTATGTAATTATACAAGCTGGCACCATTTTTACCATTCTATTCATATACATTACAAACAAATATATGTATTCACAGACACGTACATTATACAAATACACTTCACACTTTCATATACCTATACATATACACACATATATACGACATATACAGTCATATACTTTACACAGACACATATACATATACCACATATATTATATAGATTCCTACCTGCAATCTGTGCTGTGAATGGTGAGCCAGAGATGTGTTTGTTGTCAAACTTCACCGCAATCTGGTACTCTCCCGGAGCTGTGGGGTAGTAGCACACGGAGCACGTGCCATCTTTATTGTCCTTGCAGACAATCTCTGCTTTAGACGGACCCTCTACTGCCAGTGACAGGCCTCCTAGAATGGCGAAACAGAGATGTTTGAAAACAATGGTTAACTGCTTGAAAACAGCAATATGACATAAAATATTACTGAATGGTGTGGAGTTTCTTTATAAACTAAGGAGGTTACTGATTCCACATTAATATGAAGGTAGTTTTAGTTGATTCTCTGGTAAAAAAAGGATTTTTATTATTTATGAAAAGGAATAAGTTGATTTAGTATGTCAAGCCTTGTTTGTGTTATTGATCAAAAATAAATAGCCCTTGTTATATCTAATCAGCCCTTGTTACCAATATACCTCTAAACCATAGATAAAGGCAACATAATGAACAGGCTGCATATGAATGCCTGCTTATACACAATTTCATATAGTTTAGTTTTGAAGTTTGCATATGATCTAGATGTGTATTCATGTAGATACACATATGCACTTATTTGCACACATATGCATGATCGTAGGCACACATGTATATGTGTGACTTTTACTAGCTTTATGATGAAACACTTTATCTTATATTTGTACAAATACTTGTACAAACTGTCAACAAAAACTGCTACATTAATTTTTAAACACTTATGACAGTCTTACCTGGAAACCCTAGTTTAACAAATTCTGATTTTCCCATAGAAGCTACATGATACATCCTATCCTATGTGTGACATTCCTAACTGTAGACATCTGTGTCTTTATGTGTCAGTGTAAGATACTTCCAACGCACCAAGGATTTTCCAAGAAAGTCATTACATTTTCCCCAAAACAACCGTACCATGTTTCTATTTCAGATCCTTTGAGTAGTTCTCATATATTAATATTAAAAAGTTTCAAAAGGTACCATTCATTCACTCTTGCTGCAATATCTGAGAGAACAGAAGTTAAACAAAATTTAAGTCTGAACCTAGATGAAAAGATGCAACAGCAGTGGCCACAGCTGAGAAATCTATCCTTATGCAGTGATACAATTGTCTTCAGCAGTGAACTTGAAAACAATTAAATAAAGCTGTCTCACAAATAAACTGAGACAATTGACCCACAGAAAAACACTGTCTAGCTGTCTTCATCGCCACTCCCAATACCATAATAGGATAACCCATGCATTCAGTCTGTGCATGCAAGGGGGGAGAGGGTGTGAACAGCCATAAATCTGGCTGGCCTCGTGGTCAATGAGATAGGTAAGTGGTCAGTGTGCCTCAGGACATCAGTTTAACCCAACTGGACATTAAGTCGGGAGGAAATTGACCAAAACTTAGTGGTCAGTCTGCAGCCAAACTGGACACACATCCCATCTGATTTTGTCTTTGTTTACCAATACTGTTCAAAAATGATTATTGCAATATCCAAAGTTGATGGTCTTGCAAAGTTAAGAGGTAGGTCACTTAGCCCAAGGATGGCGATCTGGACATAAATGTGGTCACTCAATGGTTAGAAAGCCGTTTGGTCACCACATCCTTTGACAGAACTGGACATGCATTTGGATTGTTGCTGTTGATACTATTGTAATCTGACGTGAGATGGGAAGTGGGTTAATACCACACCTTGAATTAGGCAGGTGAATTCAGTAGAAGCTGGACTGTATTTCTTGTCCTTTCACAAAGATTTCACTGCAGAAATGGTGAATCAACGTCCATAAATCTGAGCACTCAATGAAACACCACTGGTCACCAAACTGGACATGAATTCAGGAAAATCAAAATGCTATGAACTAGACAACCAGTCTGCCACCTTAAATACCACGCCTTCCTTCTGGTAATTATTTCTGTTAACTGGACATTCCAATGGGATGAAATATTAGATAAACTTGTGTTTGATATCATGTGATACCTGACCCAATCCTGATCTCTTCAACTAGATTAATAGGTGAGATATATAATTATCCGTCTGTGAGCCAAAATAATATTAATAACCTTCCTCTTTTGCTATCAATTTCTCCCTGTCAGGAAAAGTTACATATCGCTTGGTCTAAATATGGAGCTAATTTTACTGCGGGTAAAATTGTTTGTCTTCAATGAGAATAATAAATATGCCCCATATATGTTGAAACTTCAGTGTAGAGCATTCAAACTACCAGCAGGTTTTCCCCACATATGTATGGATGGTTTGGGTGAATTCTAATGTATAAAGGTTTTGTAGGATATAAAAGTGCATATCCATTCTAACCAAATTGATAAAAAATAAATAAATAAATAAACAATACTAAAATTTAACAGCAAACAAGTCCATAAATTTTACTTTATGCATAGAAAAAAAATAAACATTTTTTATCAACCCTGGGTTTATATATCAGCGCACCACCCCACCCCACCCACTTTTCTTTCTCTTCAAACTATCATTTAGAGAGCAATCAAGTTCTCCAGCTGTAAGGTATGAGCAGTATTATATCTGTATACTCTGAAAGTGCATGCTGAGATATTATGTAGGGAAATATTGGTAATATCCATATTTATCCTGGAAAGGAGAAAGGAAGGAGAAACAAGGTAATGCAATATAATGGTAGGTTTCTTTTATACAAATAAATAGCTATATTGGGAAGGTTATAGGTGAAGACATGGGGTATGTTTCTGACACAACCTCATTTGAAGTTCACAGACATTTAATAATTTTGGTGTTATATAACAGGAACCAAAAATTAAGTAGCCCCACCAGGTAAATTACAATGAAAGCCCTGTAATTATTGTAGCATATAGCGCATTTATCGACAAACCCCTCCCAATTGTTGTAAGTGGTTTGAAAGCCCCTGGCCCCATAGCTGTTAGGTAACTATTAATACATATTGGGTAGGAAGAAAGAAATACAGGTATTAATATATGCTGATCCATGCTTTGTTCTCTGCCTTCCATATAATATGATAGTTCGTATTATTCGAAAATAAAATAAATGAAGAATATAAATAAAACAAGGCACAGTAAGCAATGATAAAGGTAGAGGAGAGGAGGGAATTTGTATGTCTCGTGTATTTGCATGCTTGAATATCTACTATTCTGCTTCTCAGGCATATCTCTGGATATAAAGCACAATAAAATAAATATATGTCCATATGTACATTGTACATCTATAAGACAGGATTGAGCTCAGAGGCTCATACTTACTAAGTCCTTCTATGTCTGTAAAAGTAAGTAAAAAGTCTTTGTTTTCTGTACAATATTAATATTTTGATGTTGTCCTGGTTATCTTGTTGTTGTCTTAGGGTGTTTTTAGCCTTAGGTTTTAGTTACAAGATGTCCTAACTGAACTTGGTAAGACAAAAGAGAAACAGGCCTGTCACATTCTTACAAAAATTAAATGAAAAAATCTTAAAACTGCCTTGGCCAAATTAATATCAGAAACATTTTTCTAGTGCCCACTGCCCTTCCTTTAATAGTCATAAAGAATTGTTAAAATATATATTTTGGTTGCTAGGTGACATTTAAAATAAAAGAAAAATTTTACTAGGTGGTAAACTGTGACTNGTAGAAGACTCTCTGACTGTAGTTGTTGTGGTTTTCACAGATGCCATGATGTGAACTGTTTCCTATAAAAGCTGTCTGATGTTTCTCTTTTCTATATTATTAAGAAGTGTTGCAAAAAAGTCAAAAAAATTACCACAAGTACAAATTGTACATTGCCTGTCTGCCCAGTCTGTTATGCTGATAGAGTCTAACTCTCATAAGGCTACCAATGCTGAACATGAAAAGCCTCCTCTTTAACACGAATAAGTACAAGTAAACATTGTAGCTGTATAGAGCAGGGTTATCTCCAGCAAAAACCCCAGCATTCCTGTCTGTATAACTGAGAGATACTGTTGCCAGTGCGGCTCAAAGAAAGTTCTACTTCATCGTCTTCCTCTCACACAAGACTAAATCACCTTGTATTTATGTGGGCTGAGGGAGTCACTCTCTGTTTAAGCCTGAGCCAGAAATACATACTTCAACAAGCTCCAGGAATTCAAAGGTTAAACTAAAAAACGGCTCAAAACACCATCTCCAAGTTTAGGCAAAATTACACTTCAATGATGACTCAGGCTAACATTCCCTGGAGAAACTGCGAAGATTTAAGTCGTTAGATGCTAGAACTGACAAGATATTCTCAAGTCTCGGGTTTTTTCGTGATGCAATTTATAGATCACTGTAATTAACCGTGCCATGGATTTCCCTTGATTACATGTTCAGATGCTGCATATTTTTAGAGAGTGAGCCGAGAATCCTGCGGTGAACTGGCTAGGAGTATCTTCACCTGGAAATGTCATGGCTTGTTTAACAGAAGGTGGGGGGAAGTTAAGGGGAGAATTGCCTCCTCAGACCTTTTCTATCTCAGCAAGAACATCCCCATCCCCGCCGGATCCACTTTGTTTGAGCACTTAGTAAAATGACAGCTACGCTTATAATGTAGTACATTATGACGTTAAATATAAGATGAATCAAATAAAAGGGAGACAACTTCTAGAATCTACCTGGCAGTTCCAGCAAAGAATCAATCAGTACCTGTAGGACTTGAGCCAAAGCTGTAGCATTCTTGGAATTCCTACCAGGTAAGTCTGTGGGATGAGTTTAAGCACATAATTCAAAATAATATCATTCCCAAGTAGGTGGTTAATGTATCTGTGGGGTACAAAATAACACCTCTTGAGACATTCACCAACACCTACTAACATAAGTTTTACAGTAAATTATCATTCTAAGTGTTTAATAGCTTTACAAACACCCAGTTGGAAATGCTAGGCAAGGTACATTTGTTTTCATTATACTGTAATATTACTCTTATGTATCAGCAGCATACTTTTCAAAAATGAACCTAGGGTCAACTGCTGTTTATCATTACACTTATTTTTCTACTGGGTGAATTCTTGCAAATGACGATTCCTCTAAGAGCAATTATGAAATTTCTGTACAAAATATGCTTTTAGAAAACCTGTCATGCTAAGTGTTTTTTCGCTGATCACAACCTCAATGCTTTAGCAATTTAAAAACACAACACTGGATTTAAAAAAACTTTATTTTCAATTAAAAACCTGACACAATTTACAAAAACATAGAGGGGAGAAACTTAAAAACACCTTTAAGCACTGATGCAAAGACGAACAGAAGAGGCTACATCTGGATACTGCAAGACTTGTACAGGAAAAGAGCTACAAGAAAAAACGCTGTTGGTTTTGAATGCTCCACCCATGGTCTGAAGGCAGATGATGATTTATAGATAGCACCGTATAACCCATCACTCCATGCTGGTAGTCTGTAGCTAATAGGCTTATTCATTCATATAGCATTACTCAATGCTTCAGCATGAATGATAAACTACAGTGCCTTCAAAAAGGATGTATAACTTTGTCATCTTTTTTATTCTTTTTTCATGTTCTTTTGCTGTTAGAAAAATATGGCATGTAATAAATAATTTGTTAAATTTTACCTTATAAACCAGAGGTATTTGAGGCCTGTATGTTATAAAACATAAATACAGTTCATTATAAAAACAATAATACAGTTCATTATAAAAACAAAAACAAAGCAATATTGATTCTAATAAATCATAAATTCTGTATGTGCTGCTTATTTAGCAGTCAGATTTTTCCTTATTTTCTTTTTCCAAGTTCTGATGGATACCAAGTATTTCCCTTTCCGTTTCATTACAACAAAATGGGTGCTAATGAATAAATAAACCAACAAATACTGTATGTGCTATTTATTCAATTATAGATTATTTTCCTACTTGCAGGTAAGATTGGATGTACTTGGATATCAAGCACAAATGGCTTGAAAATACATCTGCATGTCTATCAAAGGTTAAGCATCAATTTCTAACTTCAATTTATATAGATTCTTCCATGTACTGATCCTATTGAGATATTTACAAAAAAACAGTATTCTGAATTAACATGGACAAGGAAAAAACTAATAATGAGACTGACAAAAATAATCTGAAAGATATATCTGCCACTGTAGTCTAAAACAACGCTGATTCAGACAGATAAAATTCATTAGTCTAGCATTTAAATAAAAAACTGCCTATAAAAACAGTGTAATGAGCAAATGCCAGCAAGATGATATATTGAAATATAATGAAAGATGCAGAAATATAGAAAACCAGGTACAAAAGTCAAATATACACATATGAAACACATACTGCTATACCACACTCCTTCACAGACACACATATCATACAAATATACCTGTGTGCTATAGTGTTTTGCTATTTATTATCATAATATAAATCTATCCAGCACAAATATATCAGAAACACCAACCAAATATATGTGTAGCACAAAGACTTTAACAAAAAGCATGCCAGTCTAAGATGAATACATTCCAGGTGATTTGCTCACATTCATAGCATACAATAAAACATGGGGTGTATATTTATGACATGTAACCTATACAAATAAAATGCATCTATCACCTACCTGCTGCAAGGGTGATCCAGAAATATATACCATGTCAAAGATCTCATACATATACATACCCACATACAGCTATGTAATTATATAAGCTGGCACCATTTCTACCATTCTATACATATACATTACAAACAAATATATGTATTCACAGACACATACATTATACAAATACACTTCACACTTTCATATACCTATACATATACACACATATATACGACATATACAGTCATATACTTTACACAGACATATATACATATACCACATATATTATATAGATTCCTACCTGCAATCTGTGCTGTGAATGGTGAGCCAGAGATGTGTTTGTTGTCAAACTTCACCGCAATCTGGTACTCTCCCGGAGCTGTGGGGTAGTAGCACACGGAGCACGTGCCATCTTTATTGTCCTTGCAGACAATCTCTGCTTTAGACGGACCCTCTACTGCCAGTGACAGGCCTCCTAGAAAGGCGAAACAGAGATGTTTGAAAACAATGGTTAACTGCTTGAAAATAGCAATATGACATAAAACAAAATATTACTGAATGGTGTGGAGTTCCTTTATAAACTAAGGAGGTTGCTGATTCCACATTAATATGAAGGTAGTTTTAGTTGATTCTCTGGTAAAAAAAGGATTTCTATTATTTATGAAAAGGAATAAGTTGATTTAGTATGTCAAGCCTTGTTTGTGTTATTGATCAAAAATAAATAGCCCTTGTTATATCTAATCAGCCCTCGTTACCAATATACCTCTAAACCATAGATAAAGGCAACATAATGAATAGGCTGCATATGAATGCCTGCTTATACCCAATTTCATATAGTTTAGTTTTGAAGTTTGCATATGATCGAGATGTATATTCATGTAGATACATATGCCATTATTTGCACACATGTGCATGATCGTAGGTGCACATGCACATTTGACTTTTATTAGCTTTGTGATGAGACACTATATCTTATATTTGTACAAATACTTGTACAAACTGTCATCAAAAACTGCTACATTAGTTTTTAAACACTTATGACAGTCTTACCTGGAAACCCTAGTTTAACAAATTCTGATTTTCCCATAGAAGCTACATGATACATCCTATCCTATGTGTGACATTCCTAACTGTAGACATCTGTGTCTTTATGTGTCTGTGTAAGATGCTTCCCAAGCACCAAGGATTTTCCAAGAAAGTCATTACATTTTCCCCAAAACAACCGTACCATGTTTCTATTTCAGATCCATTGATAAGTTTTCATAAATTAATATTAAAAAGCTTCAAAATAAACGATTCATTTGCTCTTCCTGGACAGAAGTTAAACAAAATTTAAGTCTGAACTTAGATGAAAAGATGCAACAGCAGTGGCCACAGCTGAGAAATCTATCCTTGTGCAGTGATACAATTGTCTTCAGCAGTGAACTTGAAAACAATTAAATAAAGCTGTCTCACAAATAAACTGAGACAATTGACCCACAGAAAAACACTGTCTAGCTGTCTTCATCGCCACTCCCAATACCATAATGGGATAGCCCATGCATTCAGTCTGTGCATGCAAGGGGGGAGAGAGGGCGTTGACGCCAATAAATCTGGCTAGCCTCGTGGTCAATGAGATAGGTAAGTGGTCAGTGTGCCTCAGGACATCAGTTTAACCCAACTGGACATTAAGTCGGGGGGAAATTGACCAAAACTTAGTGGTCAGTCTGCAGCCAAACTGGACACACATCCCATCTGATTTTGTCTTTGTTTACCAATACTGTTCAAAAATGATTATTGCAATATCCAAAGTTGATGGTCTTACAAAGTTAAGAGGTAGGTCACTTAGCCCAAGGATGGCAAACTGGACATAAATCTGGTCACTCAGTGGTTAGACAGCCGTTTGGTCACCACATCCTTTGACAAAACTGGACATGCAGTTGAAATGTTACTGTTGTTACTACAGTAATCTGACGTGAGATGGGAAGTGGGTTAATTCCACACCTTGGATTAGGCAGGTGAATTCAGTAGAAGCTGGACTGTATTTCTTGTCCTTTTCACAAAGATTTGACTGCAGAAAAGGTGAATCAATGTCCATAAATCTGAGCACTCAATGAAACACCACTGGTCACCATTCCATTGGACAACCAAACTGGACGTGAATTCAGGAAAATCAAAATGCTACAAACTAGACGGCCAGGCTGCTACCTTAAATACCACACCTCCCTTCTGGTAATTATTTCTGTTAACTGGACATTCCAATGGGATGAAATATAAGATAAACTTGTGTTTGATATCATGTGATACCTGACCCAATCCTGATCTCTTCAACTAGATTAATAGGCGAGATATATAATTATCCGTCTGTGAGCCAAAACAATATTAATAACCTTCCTCTTTTACTATCAATTTCTCCCTGTCAGGAAAAGTTACATATCGCTTGGTCTAAATATGGAGCTAATTTTACTGCGGGTAAAATTGTTTGTCTTCAATGGGAATAATAAATATGCCCCATATATGTTGAAACTTCAGTGTAGAGCATTCAAACTACCAGCAGGTTTTCCCACATATGTATGGATGGTTTGGGTGTAATTCTAATGTATAAAGGTTTTGTAGGATATAAAAGTGCATATCCATTTTAACCAAATTGATAAATAAATAAATAAATAAATAAATAAATAAATAAATAAACAAACAATACTAAAATTTAACAGCAAACAAGTCCATAAATTTTACTTTATGCATAGAAAAAAAAAAACATTTTTTTATCGTAGACCCTGGGTTTATATATCAGCGCACCACCCCACCCCACCCACTTTTCTTTCTCTTCAAACTATCATTTAGAGAGCAATCAAGTTCTCCAAGTGCAAGGTATGAGCAGTATTATATCTATATACTCTGAATGTGCATGCTGAGAAATAATTGCGTAGGGAAATATTGGTAATATCCATATTTATCCTGGAAAGGAGAAAGGAAGGAGAAACAAGGTAATGCAATATAATGGTAGGTTTCTTTTATACAAATAAATAGCTATATTGGGAAGGTTATAGGTGAAGACACGGGGTATGTTTCTGACACAACCTCATTTGAAGTTCACAGACATTTAATAATTTTGGTGTTATATAACAGGAACCAAAAATTAAGTAGCCCCACCAGGTAAATTACAATGAAAGCCCTGTAATTATTGTAGCATATAGCGCATTTATCGACAAACCCCTCCCAAATGTTGTAAGTGGTTTGAAAGCCCCTGGCCCCATAGCTGTTAGGTAACTATTAATACATATGGGTGGAAAGAAAGAAATACAGGTATTAATATATGCTGATCCATGCTTTGTTCTCTGCCTTCCATATAATATAATAGTTCGTATTATTATTCGAAAATAAAATAAATGAAGAATATAAATAAAAACAAGGCACAGTAAGCAATGAAAGAGGCAGATGAGGGGAGGGAATTTGTATGTCTCATGTATTTGCATGCTTGAATATCTACTATTCTGCTTCTCAGGCATATCTCTGGATATAAAGCACAATAAAATAAATAAATATATGTCCATATGTACAGTGTACATCTATAAGACAGGATTGAGCTCAGAGGCTCATACTTACTAAGTCCTTCTATGTCTGTAAAAGTAAGTAAAAAGTCTTTGTTTTCTGTACAATATTAAAATGTTGATGTTGTCCTGGTTATCTTGTTGTTGTCTTAGGGTGTTTTTAGCCTTCAGTTTTAGTTACAAGATGTCCTAACTGAACTTGGTAAGACAAGTGAGAAACGGGCCTTTCACCTTGTTACAATTTGTTACAATTAAATGAAAAAATCTTAAAACTGCCTTGGCCAAATAATTATCAGAAACATTTTTCTAGTGCCCGCTGCCCTTCCTTTAATAGTCATAAAGAATTGTTAAAACATATTTTGTGGTTGCTAGGTGACATTTAAAATAAAAGAAAAATTCTACTAGGTGGTAAACTGTGATCTGGACCTATATACCTATATTTTAATTCTAATTTAAGAAAAAAAAAAGGCAGCTTTTATTAATGCCTTACTGAGGTAGATATTTGACTGCATTGTGTTACACACCAGCATGAGCCTGAAACTATACACTAATTAACATAAACCTGATTACAATCAACAATCTTAGTTGATTCACCTTTCACAGAAACCTGCTGTGTCCTTTCTAAAGCCAAATGTCTATACCGAAAGTACCTGGGAATCCAGATATAATTTTTTTTCATTTATTATGAACCTATTCCATACCTGCTCCAGCTTCCTTGGTATTGATGGTAAAGTTGGCTGCCTCTCCCACGGCACCATGGCTAAGACCAGGACCATACGCTGTGACAAAGCCACTGTTCACATTGTCAACATGGAACTTGAATGGGCTGCCTGGAATCACAGAGGAAAAAAAAAATAGGTAAAATGTGTTAGTTGAGATGATGGTACAACCAATGCAATGACTGTCTACAGTATTTAGAAGTAAACACAATGTAGTAAGGTTACCAACACTTTTCTCTGAATGAGTTTAATTTAATGTTTATCTTATGATCAACAACAAAATAAATCCTGAAAGAAATGATTACGCAAAGAGTACTGACAAAAAATGGCTACACGAATAAAAATAATGGTAATTAAGTTATCAGACAATTTCAATTATATTATATTATGAACCTTTAAGTTGTGTATATGTTTGTGCATGCATGAATGTGTGTATGTGTGGCACCAGACTAAAATTGGGAGGAATACAAAATGATATATATTTAATTCTTATCATCACACACCCTAATTAATTACTTGACCAACTTCAGACAATTTATGCTACACCTTGTGGTTTGTATACATAACAGATGACACCCTCTCAGATTCTATACCACCTTCTATGTGCTTTACATTATATAGGTGCTAAAAATCATCACTAAAAGTTAATCTCCTTTTTTTCAGCAAAGTTCAGTGACTTCAAATCATCCATAAAACCAACCCCGTTTTAACAGACACAGAGAAAACAATTTACTTCTACACTGAGTGCTCAAAAATTAGGACTTCCAATTTTGAGCTGTAACATCCTCAATGATTTTTGGCCCTGTCAAATTTGAACGGTAGTATAATCTTACAAATTATCATTTATTTTTCATTATTATTTCCTATGCACTACATTACTGCATCGGCCAACTTTTAAAAAATGTATAATTTCTATAGCAGACAAACAGTCAAATGAATAGGCTAAGTATAGGAAACAGATTAAGACACAACATACAAATCTATACACATATCATCCAACTTTTAGCTACAAATGTCATTATGTCTGGTAAATCACTGGAGCTTTACCTAGATCAAAGAGCAAGGTTTTAAATGTTCCAACACTATAAATGACCCTTGGCAAAAAACGCTAAGTTAAACATGAAATATGAGCTGTTCATCGTCACTTAACATGCAATCCACATAAAATAAGAGCATATCGATATCCCGCATCAAGAAAGGTAACATCCAAATTGGACGTTTAAGGTCTAGTCTAAACTGGTTTAGAACCCCCAGGTTTCATCTTATCACAGATGTATGGCAGCAAGTTTTATTCTAATAGGTTCACTACATCATCAAGCAGTTTACTTTGGGTGATCTCAATCAATTTTCTTCACTTATTCATGCATGCTGTGATCCCTGCAATTCAATTTAAGTCAATATGTTTTACACAAACTCAAGTCAGGGAAGTAATTTTTTTATTTTTGAATAATTTTAAACCAAAGCAAAGGTAAAATGTCATAATAAAACATAATTTTGTCTTTTTTTTCTGTTTAACCAAATTAAATAATAAAAACTGCAGTATTTGAAGAAACGTCTACTTGTGACCATGAACATATTGGGCAATCCGAACATAAATGCACTCCACCAGTTGCAGATCGATTCAGGGGCAGTCCAAATAAGTAAAATGTGAACTTGCCCTAAGGCAGGGAACCTCAGGTATAGGACAGAAGCAATAAATTACCAGGTAACCTATACCTGTACAAGGGAGATAGTCAAGGGGGAGTGATTCAGATTAATAAATTTAAATTAAGCAACTGGAAGTGTTATATCAACCCTCTTGCATACATCAATACTAAGTGAGGTAGAACTTCCTGTGGGGCTTTTGCAGTTGAGGTTAACGTGATATTAAGATGGATAAGTCTGAATAAATATAACTGTTGATAAAATATGAGCAAACTTGCACCAATGTAAGGCTATCATGCCCTGCAGACCTTTTTAATATTAACTTTTCTTTTTTGGCAGACTACAGTCCGTATACAGCTACAAGAAATTTGGAATACAAAAGAAGCTGCACTGGAGGGGAGGGGGTGCATTATTTCAAATAATTTCATTGCAAAGTACTGATTTTATTTTTTATTTATGTCACAGTGTCTATAGAATATAGCCGTTCATGTCATCATCCTGATAAGAAGGGAGATGAGATATTTTCATTCTAGATACTGACAGTCATCCACCACAAGAAACAACATCTACCAAACAAACTATCACCGTTTTCCTTAAAACCATACCATAATACAAAAGAAACTACAATCTGAAGATGTGCCGCAACCTCTGATGCCCCTCACTTGTATAGATGAGTAATTAAATTAATTTCCATGTCGAGTTGTTGACAGAGTAAACAGCACAATAAAGTGTGTGTTAGGTGTGGGGGTGGAGAAATCAAATGTGTTGACATTCCTGCTTAGCACAGCTGAATATCAAGGTGGTACCATGTTTTTATCAGATTCTTTCATAAAAATAATGATAAAAAGTGATTCATGGTACACCATGGTCATGATCCCTTTATCAGCCATGTTTAGTGCAGTATTCAAGAAGTTGAAATATCACAGCAATGAATGATATGTGTTGTTGCATTTTAGATTTTAATGCAAACTGGAGGCACCCAAATTTACCATTTGACTGAATGAAAAAATATTTTAAAAAACATTTCATTTTTCAATTGCATTTATATACATTTCTGTGTTGCATTCTCTTTATCTGATTATGATAAAAGCTTCAAAGATGGTACCCCTAATTCTCTTTAAAACAAGTAAAAAGTGATTTTTTAAAGGAAAAATCCATAATGAAAAGGACAATCTAAATTTCTAAATTGGACCATAATCATACACTTTCAGTGAACAAGATCGGTATTTCACCCCCCGAGTCCTCGATCTTCAGGTGGTCCCTCTTATCACCCATCTGAGCACCCCTCAGTAAACCCTCGAGACAGAACTAGATCAATAATGATCAGAAAGCCACAATAGATTGCATCAACAAGCCGAATGTTAACCAAACAGTCTCCACTCTGTCCATTGTTAGCCTATGGGGACATAATACCCAGTGTGTAATGTAGGAAGGTATTCAGGTGTACAATTATTATGCCTACCGCGGCCTGGGGAAACAGTGCAACAAGTTGACAAGGTGTCAGATTTAAAGGTCTTGCTACTGGACGTGTTTGCTGTCCTGACCAGAAATTGACCACTGTTTAGTTGTGCAGGGATTAAATATTCAGTCAAACTGGTAGTATGCTATGTGCTGGCTGGTGATAGGATGTAGAAGGTCAGATATTCACCCTCTACTCAGTTTCCATCTCTACCGTTCCGTCTACAATTAAGATCACTATGCTCACTATGGTCACATTACAAAAAAAAACTATCAAAAAGTTTTCTAATAACATTCTGGTAATTTTCACTTTGAAGAGCCCCTAAAAGATTCATTCATTATATCCTAATTGATTTTTTAATCACAAGATAAAGACTGGGTATGATTTACAGCAATTTAGATCTTGCTGTCATAATGTGCATGCATCAGACCACACAAACCCAGTTCAGTATAGCTTTAAATGTATATGTGTGAATACCCATCACATTTCTCTTAAAATATCTGATATTATCAGTGGTTCTATTTATTATTTATCAAGTACCACCTTTTCTCAAGAGAGCTTATATGTACCGTCTAATCAGAACAAGTCACCTTTCCTTCCACAGATCATTGGCTTCATTCTAATCAAATAGAGTGGTTGTATCTGTAACTAACACTCATACTACATATCCTATCATCCTCTGTATCTATATTACAATTGTAGAGGGTTCCCACTTGACAAGAATACTAGAATACAAAGTCCCTTAGTCTCTCTTGAGACTAGGGCCAATTGATAAGAATCCACAAGTGTTTTCATCAATGAATTAGATAAATGGCATCTTATAGATAGTGATCAGCCTGTGTTATACCTGCTTTTGTGATAGTTTTGGATGTCAGCTGGTACTGGGTTATAGTCTCTCCATCCAGAGTTCTGCCAGTCGTAGAATCCAGAATAATAATCCTTTTCCTTAATCTCTGTGACTTCACCTGTGACTGTGACATTTTAACAGCCGTTTACCCAAGCACCCATGGTAATAAGGAATAGAAAATACCACACTCCCTGTCTTGGTGATGGAGTATAGTGTAATGAATATATTGCGGTCTTTTTTTTTAATGATGGTAGTACTATCAAATAGCAATTCTGTGACAATGTCTATACTGATTTGGGCAATCTTTTGTCACACCAAGGAAGATTAAGGGCAGTTTGTCACCCATTGGGTCAAACCGGCTTCCAGCCAGGTAAGAAATATGTGTAATTACGGACACAAAATACAGGTGTCTTTTTTTATATAGAACCATATGTGATTAATTATAATTGAGGTTTTGAGGTTCACCCTGCTGTCAAGGGCACACTTGTTTCAGTCAGGTTGTTCTTTTCAATGAAAGACCAAAGGCAATAAAAAAAAAAAATCAGGCTATAATATGGCTTACACTAGCTGTCAGATTTCAATACAAGATATATTCAGTTCACTGGTTCTGCATAACAAATAAGTTAAAATAATAATAAAAAAAGACCTTACAAAAACAGAAAAATTCCACCTTTGAGTTTTTCAGTGGATGGATTACATGTGCAATATATATTGGGTGGAGTAAAAGCAGAACTAAAGGCCAATGTTACTATGTATTTACAAGCCTCAGACAGATACACTGATAACCTCTGTATCTCCCTCACTGTGGTGTGGTAGAACACAAACAAGATGCAGTTCACCACCTGAACATTGCAGGCTTATCCACCTAATAAAAGTCCAGTAATAATCTATTTCCTTTCCCTTATACCTCACCACACCCAACATAACCATGGCCAGATCTGTTGTTCTTTTCAATAAAGAGTTGTGGGAACTCAGGTGCACAATATACTTCATCCTACCTCTAATTGACAAAACTAGACTTGTTATCATATATGCCCATATTTTCAGACATTTACATTCTCTACCTTACATCCCAACCCCTACGCCTCAACCAACCTTTACACAGAATATTTCACCCTTTTTCACAGATCAATTCACCCTATTTCCCACTTGCAGGCCACATGGTAATAACACTGACAACTGCATGTAATGTGCAGCAGCACGTTGAACAGAGCTTCACACAGAACACCCATACCCCTCACCATCCAAAATCAACCCCCCCTCCACCCTAATCCCTCCTTCTGGCCTACCTTTCTTTTTCAGAATGAGTATTGGGTCCTCCGTGGCCATATGTCATTCAGTCATAACCCCGAGATCACCTGTAAGCAGCCCTCCTCCACTCAGCTGGCCAGACTTCCCCCCTGACTACATGTACACTGACTGTCTGTGAGCTATGTTATTCTAACACAGGGCCCCCATTCACATTCCAGAACATAGGGTCATCAAGGCAGTGCCCTGTGACATGAATAGTGATTGGGACAAGGTGTGGGAGACTGGGGATGGTGTGTAGGTATTCATGTTCCAGGGCACAGAAACCAGTCAGACAGTGCCCTGTGATGGTGATAGATAAGAGACTGGGTCTTTTTGGGGGAAAGCAGAAGGTGGGTCAATATCCATGTTCCAGGGCATACAATTGGATGGTCAATATTCTATGGCATGGCTTTTGATTTACAATACATACTGGCAATCCCATTCAAAAGCACATAAAAAATCATATCGTGCCCTAAAACATGTATAATTGAAAACAAGCCGACTGAAACTGGTTGTGGAAAAGTCACCCAGGTTCAAGCAGCCAGATAACAGATAACGTGTCACCAAGTCCACCTGTGTGGAACCCTTTCAAATTGGGCATTAAGCTCATTAGGGCCAGGACCATGGATGATCAGATGGCAATCTGCAAAAGCTGTATGGCAAATTCTTGATCAGGTATCTCAGCGGGTTCAATGAAGTTTGTGTTAATGGCTGGTTTATTATTCCAGGGCTGGTGAGTTTGGGAGGGGGGATGTATTGGTGAGTATCACCTAGAGGTGTGATGAAGAGGAGATGACACTTGAAAAGCAGCAATCATTGCTGTTAAGTGTCATCTTTGGTAATTACATGTTAGTAATGACTGGAAATTGATTGTAATTTCTGAGACCAGTAATTTTAACTGGATTACTTTTGTTCTGGGTCAATCTCTCTCTTGCACTGGTGCAAACATTGTGTAAATTTATTACTATTTCTTTCTTTATTTATTTATTTATTTTTATGCACTTCAATATTTGATTATCAAATATTAAAAATTATCTTTGTGGAAGTTAAAATTTTCCTAACTGAATGTCTAAGTTTTTTATATCACATTACTGTTAACCTGAATGTGTTGATAATCATCTACAACAATATACAACCAGTAAATACAGAAAAACATTTTTTTCAACTGATAATCAAGATTTTGATACACAAAATTTATGGTGGCTGAAAAATCTCTCTTCATGACTAACAATTTAAGGCTGTATCTTGAAATCCAGTGATAAATCATAGGTGATTCTCTCTCTACATATCACTGTAAATTATAATTCTGCACACTTGTAACTGTAATTATCTATTGATTATTTTAAGTTTTAAGCACTCTCCAATGGCTAATATTTGCTTCCAACTCCAATCCTCACATTTGCTTCGCATTAGTGCCCTTGTAGATGAATTGCAGCAATTACCAAGTGAACATTGGATGAGATAATAAAATTACTGCCAATGTTGTGTCTGAAACAGTCCATGTTTACAGCCCTATCACTAGTTGTTTTGTCTGGAAGTCTTGATAATATATCACCTATGACACCAAGGGAACCAAGCAGAATCATGTCTTAGTATACATATGTCCACAGAGATAAGGAGAGGTTATCTGAGAACCAGTAATTCATTATACTGATGTAAGTTTATATCTTTATCTCCGCCCTGGTCAGAAATTGATGCTCCTTTTTGAGTTTTATACTATTTGGGCACCTGAGGTCAAAGAAAGACTACAACTGCAATAAAACTTTTTAACATGTGTATGCTCATAATAGCTGACCATTATCTTCTTCTGATTCTTTAAAACTTTCTCCAAATATTCAGACTTTTATAAAAACTCAACATCTGTGTAAGTGGATGGAGGGGGGGGGGGGGGGGATAACATGGAAGACAGGGAAGTAGGCCATGTCTGTAACATATATTTTCTTATGTTTTTTTCTACATCATTTTAAAAGCCAGCCGTACCAAAACAATTTACCACACTACACATGAAATATTCCCTTTGTTTCATGATCTGTCATTCAGTACACTCACTCTTTATAACAGTGCAGCACTTAATATCTAAAAATCCTCATTAAAAATGTTTTGTGGACTGCATGACCTAGAGGCTTTAATTCCAACATAACTTAATATACTATGTGATAAAAATCAGGGCCTCTTCCAACACTCCTTTCATGTTTATAGCTGTCTCGCATTTTATTTTTTTCAGTTGCGATGACACAGAGGTGACAGCATCGTAAATTCTGCCCTCTTACTTTCCTCTGACTAATTCAACATCTATATGAGGATTTGATTAATCATAAAACAAATGTCCTATCACATCAGTGTCCTCCTATCTGATATAACACTGCCAGAACTGTATCTAATATGAAGATAAATTGGCCTTTGTTCATGCCGACAGGTACCTGATGGTCATATCCACTAATGTATCAAGTTATTATCATAACCAGTTCTGGACGCACACCTTCAAGTCATGTTTTATGAACTGAACACTGGACCATCTTGGTCACAGAGACTTATCAGAGAGGGTGCCATCTGGTGGAATTGTTTGGAACTATATCAAAATACCTAACCTGATATCAGATATTACAAGTAAAAAGAACACATCAATCTATAAAATATTCTAAATTAAAACATCTTATCAAAAAAAAATCTACTTATGTCCATAAGCATGCATTTTTAACAAAAAATATTTAACCTCAGGGGAAAATACTATAATAATAAAACGAAGAATAATAAATAACAACAACCACAACAACAATAATGATATTATATGAAAAAGAAAAATATTTAAAACAATACAACAAGGCATCTACCTGGCACAGGTTGCTTATTGTAGCTAATACACAACTCGTGGCATCCCACTTCTGTTGGTTGATACTGGACTGTCACCGTTCCATTCTTGTTGTCAATAATCGTGGGCGTAGAGCGTCTTCCCGAAGGCATGATTATCTCAGCTAATATCGAGACAGACAGAAAGAGGGAAAGAACGATAAATAATAATCTGATTTACCTGGAATTGGTTGCTTGTTGTACAGGATAGCCAGTTCATGCAAACCAACTTCAGAAGGCTGGTATCGGAGGGTAACAGAACCATCTTTGTTATCAACTATTTCTGGACGATGGCTCTTGCCAGAAGGAGTCGTAATCTCAGCTGGAAAATGCAACATGCAGAAAAACCTGTGTCACTAACCATGCTTACATGCAATGCATTGAAACATGTTCGTACAACACACTGTGTATGAACTGGTGCATTTTAACCAAATCTACAGCAAAAGTATTCATCTAACATTTTGATAATACTCAAACGCATTTTTTCCCTCTTTTTCTATACACAGAAACCTTTACTATGCACACACATCTACGATGCAAAGATAGCATATACTATACATGGATACATGGATAGATTAAATAGGTAAGAGAGATTCATTGTACCGAAACACTTTATGAATCAGATTTTCACTTGCACCCAATACTCTAAACATTCAAAACATGCACACCTAAAAACCTCTACTACATTTGAAGATTACAAGGATACACTTTCTGGTATCCTTTAGTCATTAATATAATTCTTATTGGCTTAAGTTAGTCCTAAAATGTATCATATCTTCATTTTATTATGATGAAATGCTATTTCCGAAAACTCCTTTAAATTCCTCAAAAAATTGCTCATAGCATTTTAAAATTTGAAAGATCCTAAAGTTACCATAAGCTAATGTTCATTCCACATTTCATATCCTTCCTTTTAAGACACACCATGCACTATTCATACAATCTAATATCCTCTTACATTCAACCAGGCAGAAAAACACTAAAAACTTTGCAAACAAGTCCTTACCATGGCTAAAACTCACCAAAAGTAATATTTATCCTACCATGCAAAGAATATATGACAGACTAATTTCAAACCCCCATTCACTTGGCCAAAATGTATCAAGGTGTTATATCTCTGGACAGTCTCACAAATCAAAGGAACTTTTAACTAAAAGATGGTCTTGACTAAATCTCTAGTCTACTTTAATCCAAGAAAAAACAGCAGCAATTCAATTAATTGAACTATTGAGCCCATTTTATAACAAGAAAGAGACAGTGTTTTAGAAGTTTCCACACTTAAACTTCTGACCAACTTTCATTTTAAGGTCCCTTGTGAGATCTGTCTGTGGAAGAACTACTGATAAAAAATGACTTCTCAGGAAAAACGCTACAAGTACAAATGCATTAAGTTGCTATAAATGCTCTTTTTTTTCTATACAAAGACAAACTGCACCACAAAGCAACATTCTTTGACTTCTTATTATCATTTATAACAAGACTCTTTTTTTTTTTAACTTCAAATGTTTAAACTTCAAGGATTTTAAAATTTTTGGTGAAAAAGAACATTTTCTGACTTTCTTGCTCAAAATACATATAATTAATTTATAAACATCTCACTTTATTTGATAATAAAGCTGTTTTGGGGTTGTATTAATATGCTTAGCAACACTAATCATTAATTCTCTATACAGTCAGACCTTTCACATGAAGGAAGCTTAAAGATCTGATGTATCAAAGGGATACAAAAAGCCTTTTGGCATCAAGCAATATACTGTAGCAATATAATTGTACTGGTATATTTTGAGAGATAAACAAGAAATTAATAGCCTGGCTATCATATAAGAGAGTAAACTTAAAAGAGACAGCACGCTTGACAAGCCAATATACAACCTCCATGTGAATGGTAAGAAGTAAATTGGTAGCATAATCAGGGGCCAATTGAGGCCGTCTTCTGGGTCTTCCAGAAGACGGTCAGATTTTCAAGTTTACATTGATGGGCATCTAATTTTTTTTCTGTCGGAAGACGGTCAAAAATGGAGGATAGATCAACAAAGATAATTTGGAAGACTGTCAGAATTTATCTCTGGATCTGCCCTTGATAATTACATGACAGAGAGTCTTAAAAGACATACCAGTACAGCTGTATTGCTATGATATCATTCAATATGAAAAGGCCTCAAAATATGGACGTTATAACCTTTATAAGGCATTTCAAAATTATAAACTTCAGAGAACACTACCAATAGTTTTGGTAGGGCTTTGCAACAATGATTTTCTCTCACCTTCCACAAAGTTAAAGACAGGGCCAACTGGGATGGTGAAGTCAACCTCCTGGTACAAAGCCTTGGCTGCTTGAAGAGCGTCAACTGTATCTGCTGTAATCTAAAATGTAAGAATTACAGGGATAAGATCATGAAAGAGAGCTATATTATAAAATGACATTATATCTGTCGATTTTCTATACAATTCGGGCTTTTTTTTTTTTTTTGGGTGCGTCGTGATTTAAAAAATCAAAAGAAATCTTAAACCAGTGATTTGCTTTCAGAACAAACAGCTCAAAATGCTATGGTTTGAATACAAAACAAAATTGGTACATATACAAACATTAAAATATGTCTAAAGTTTTAAGTAGATTGTATAATATTATTATATAACATACAAAACACTCAAGTTATCATATAATATTTATATTCCAACTTGGCAGGCATTTTTACCACAACAAACTGACAGTCAATATCATATGGGTGGTATAAGTTGAGCAATAATGTGTATATGTACCAAAATATAGTATACCAACACAAAGAAAATGACAAAAAGTAAAATTTAAACTTGAGCATTCCCTATTCAAAATAAAACATTAATTTTCTAGTGAGAACTAAAGTTAGGTAAAAATAAAAAAAAAAAAAAAAAAAAACTTGATAAATATCTAGTGAAATAAACAAGTGAATAAGTTGTAATGTTCAAAATATTGAACCACCTCAAAAGTAACGCATATAAACAAAATGCATATGAAATAAAAAATAATAATAAAAAAAAGGAAAAAAGAAAAATAAACACTTCCTGACTCACAAGAACTAGTCAAAATCAAAATTCTAAGAAGAAAGACAACCTTTGTTAAACATTCAAGTGAAGGTATTAAATAACCATAGAGTCTCGTTCCAAGAAGTTTTCACGATGATAAACAGTGACATGTTACCAGAAAAGTAGCAATAAGTACCTTGTTAACCTTTAGTACGGTTCCCAAGACAGAGAGCCAATAACAGATCATCTAAATCCCTTGATACTTATCGAAGATCCCATTGATTTTTTAATCTTTACTCAATTCTATACTCCATTAGATATGTTGTTCAAATTGTTTCAATTTTTTTAAGAAAGGATATAAAAATGTGTTTTGGTGTACATAACTCTGATACAAATAAAGTAAATAAAGTATATAATTTTGAAATAATGTGTTTAATTCAAAAGGCAGTCATTTCGTTTTGATACAAGGTAATAACCAATTCTGACAAATAAAATTCTCACTTTATATACTGCTTATGTTATGGGAAGATTGGGACAGCAAAAAAGGTTGATATTTGTATCAAATATTAAAGAAAATGTGCCAGACCCCGTATAGTGTCTTAAAAATTTCAAGACAAAAATCGTATTATATCATTCAATATATCTATTATCAGATATACATTACATAGTAATTGAAGTGTATAACTTGGCAATTTTATCTACCTCAACTTTCCCTGTAGTCTAAGCAGATTGCATGCTTAGTTATAATATACAGTGAACTTGCAAAGAAAGTGCACACAGCAGAAGCAATTCCTAGATCTACTGTCAATATAAAGATGTATATAATGTATATATGATATTTGATGCAGAATATATAGTATAAGATCAGCATGCGTATACCTTCTTATATTGTGTATGTTCCTCCACCGTTTGGCAAGCCTAGAGGAGAGAAGAGAGAGAGGAAAGCATGCCTTAGTACAGGGTAGAAGAGCACAATTATTCAGAGAAGTTGGTTCAGGGAAGCAAGCAGACCTACACATGTAGCCAGAAGTTTCTAAGGGGGAGGGGAGGGGGGGGTCTTTTTTTCCTGAAAAGAGGGCCTCTTTACCCCTTAGGTTGACCAACTTGAAATATGCCATAGAACCTAGATCAAATTTTGAATAACTGGACCTCATATGGCCAAAATGTTTTTTTTTTTTTTTTTTTTTTTTTTTTTTTTTCAAAATTTATGACCCCACCCTCTCCCCACGGATCTGGAAAGTTCCCTGCTTTATGTCTGTACAGAGGTTGACAATGAGATTTGAAGGTGATGAAGCAGCACAGTTATCAGGTATATTGTAGCAGGGAGGGGAGGACAACAGAATGCAGTATGCACCACATTAGCTTATAGCTTGCACAGACAAGGTATATATAAGCATTACGAGGTACATGGATTGCACTTCTTTACTAGGACCAGAGAGATGGCTCATCAAGAGGGTTTTTGGGGTGGGGGTAGGGGTGGGGTTTCAAAACATTACTACCATATTTTGATAATCAGGAAGACACCAAAGAAAGTTTTTGCTAAAGGCATTTCTGTTGAGATGAAGATTGAAATTTTAAATCATTTTATTTGATTTTAGTGCCTCTTGCTCTCAAATTTCTGTTGAAGGCAATTTGGTACTAGATATTGTGGGACCAATGTATTTCTGCAAGCAAAGGTTTTGAAGAAAATATATGAAGCTTCTACCACCACTAGGATCACCACCACCACAACTAATACCCAACTATCAAAGATTGTATAATATTTTCTTACCAATTCTTCTTCAGTTTCAACAGCCTAAAATTTGTACAAAATGAATTCTATATCGTTTTGGCTCTAATATGAGTTTGAACTTACAGTTAAACATACAAAGAACGAGTATAACATGCTTGGAGCAAATAAGTTTCATACTCTTGGGAGGAAAATGCATAACTGGTTCGAATGTAAGGTTATTTCTATAGGAATAACTGCTCAAAAATAGCATTATTACCACCAAGAAAGATTGGGATTTCAACTCACCTGAAATTTCATTAGTTATAATGTCTTTCTTTTTTTCTTACCTTTTCTTTTCTCCTTTACATTTCTCTAGGCTCTCTCCCTCTCTCTCCACACACACACGCACACATGCACACACAAATGCATACACACATGCACCTACACACATACACGAAAAATCATCACCTCAAATGTCCAGTCAACTTACGTATTCACACCCTCATTTATACTCAACACTCAAAGCACTGAAAAATGTGTTGATTTTTGGTTTATGTTTTGTACTTATTTGAACACTTGTTTTCTCACTTTATCTTCTGTATATCATGTTCATTCAAAGGAAGTGGGGCAGGTGCAAGCATGAACATTTCTTAGTACTTAATTAAAACATATTTGATTCATCGTATCATATCAAAAAAATGAAAAAATAAAATAAAATTAAATATGATTTAAAAATATTCTTTAAGCACTGAAACTCTATTTGCATGAAAATGAAAACTATTTTTTGAGTAACAGATAAGTCATGGAAAAAAAAATATATATTTATGGTGTTTGAAGCTTGAGAATAATTACCGTAACAGAATTTGAGGAGGACAGGATGGGTAGGTGGATAAAGAAAAAAAAAAATGCATTCCTAAAAACCTACAGAGTGACATATCTAGACCTTAACCCTTTGCATTGCCACTTAAACCAACTGAATGTGAAATTATACCGAAAAATACCTTGAATCTTTGTCTGACCTAAATTACTACATTCCAGGAGAAAGCAACATTTCGCTTTTTGTTGCCTCCAAACTTAGCACTGTCTGGACTATCTTTAGATTTTTCCCTGTTCTTCTATTCTATTTTTGGCCACCGATTTCCGTTCACTCCAGGTAAATTGATGCCCCAAGGAGTTCTTACACTTCTAAAAGCAAATTTGGAGGAAGCTAAATACCATTGAGTAATTTTAATGGGTTGATACAGTTTGCTTGTGGAATGTTTCACATTCTTGTTTTCTGACCTTATGAATCTCCTGGTTAGAATATGGTTTCCTAGAATGTTGTATGGCCGTAAATGTAATTGTTTCAAATAAACCACCAATTTTCCACTTACAATGCTTTTTTCTCAACTGGGCATAATGCAAATAAAATGCAATATCAAAATGTTTTCACCAGACTTGTTTTTCTAGAGTTAAGTAAATGAGCATATGTTTTTCTGGTGCAAAAGTTGTGTAATATCTGGAAAAATGCAAATATTGAAAATTTGACAGAGATTTTCATTCTAAAGAACCAACCTATGGAAAAATAGAACTAAAAGAACCAACCAAACAAACAAATAAAGATTAAACTTAAAGTCAGGATAAACGAACAAAAATCATACATACAATGAATATATAAAGTAACTTAAAATGAGAAATCACAACCAGGGAATTTTTTTAAACAGTAAAATTAGATCTAAAAAACCTCCTAGGTTGCCAACTAAAAAGTACTCTTCATTTCTTAACAGGACATCTCACTAAAACCCCCAGACATCAAAATCAAAAAGGTCAAAGTTATTCTAGGACACCTCTAAAGACCATTCCACATCTTATAAACTCACTTTTTAAAGTAGGGCAATAGTACTAACAAAATCGTTATTGGTATGAAAAATATATGAGCTAACTGAAGTAATAGTTTTAACAATGTATAATCCTTACCTTTGAAAATCAGCAATCTTGCTAAAGAACCCTGGATTCAGTGACAAGTACAGAAGAAAATCCCTGCTAGAGTACACATTTCTTAAAATCAATTTCTGGGAATGCAAGGTAGACAGACATGCAACTGGTCCACATACAAATATAGCCAGCTCTGTTTAAAGCATCTAAATGTCTCACCTTCTTTCACCTCTGCAGCAAAGTCAGCTGAGTGATGGGTCAGTGATTGCCTGGAAAAAAAATTCAAAACTGTCCCGTCCCAGAAATTCCTGGATCCACGCACCCTGCAGAAACTAGGCACTAACCCCAGAATGCCCCTAACATGCGCAGCGTGGAGAAAACTTGCGCGGAGAGCATCTAAAATTTCCCTTGTCCTCAATAAAGAAATCAACAGTGACAGCTATCTTTCCTTCACCGAGTACCCGTGTTAGTCACACCATATATGTGCATGATTGGCCCTAAATTAAAATAGGCTGGTGCAGGAGTAGGAAATCTTACCCATACTCCTGGCATTTGGTGATGTCAGCTTGGCTAACTATCATCATTTCTCTAGCTTCCTTTCAACTTGTTCGCCTCCCCCTTCTCATCAGTTACATTTATAGTATTACTGGCACGCAAGGCGTCTTTTAGATCATTATATATCTATTTCTGAGTCAATAATTATGCAAGCATAAGTTACATAACTCATTTCAGCCTATCAGTTTATTTTTTAAAACTCAAATTTCTGACTTATAATAATGACATCCTAATGGACAATGCATCCTGTTTTTTTTTTCCTTTAAAATATCAATTATTTTTAGTGCTGGTAAAAGAAAAGTCAAGTCAGAAAAACATTCAGCACATATCACCCAGGTCTTTTTGATAATCACATATACCAAAAATTCCAACTCTGAATTTTCGGGATTAAAACATTAACATTTTTCTCAATATCAAAGCATATCCACAGCCTACGTTTTTTTCACAAACCAAAGATTCTTCTCTAAATATTCCAGCATTTATCTCTATGTGGATAATTACTTATTTTTCTGTAAAAATCTTTCATTTGGAAGCCCTGATCTACTACAGCTGCTATTAAAGCATTTGTGGACCAAAGGGCATGGAAAACTAGTGTTCTTTGCTATGTTAGTGATGGTTTAACATGATGTTAAAACATTAAGAATGGAATTCACATAAACGTTGAAGTTCTCAGTAATAGCCATGAAATATCAGTGCTGAAGTCAGTGCTACACACAGGAGATATATTTTCTTTCAGTTACACAAAAAAGAGAGAGAGATAGCAAAAGAGAGAAAAAAAATGAAAAGAAAGTTGGAGTTCTGAAGTTAGACTGTGTGTGTGTGTGCATGCATGAGTGCATATATGTGTGTGTGAGTGTACATGTGTGTAAATGCATCCTTCCACGAGAAAATGTGAGTGAGTGTATAAACCAAGTCTTAATCTGACAACAAATTTAAATCAATAAAACATTTTTTTTGTGCACAACCCTGGAAAATTCAGTAAATCTCACAGATGGAACTGTGATTAATGGCCTGGAGCAACCAACTGAAGTTGCCCTTTAAACACGGAATCATCACTATAGAGATTCACATTACTGATAACTTGTACCCAAGTTTGTGACCTAATGATTGGTGCTATACTACAAGCTTCATTGAAACTCCTCCAACTTTCCCAAAATGAGACAAATCGGTTAAGGTCAGACATCTCTCTGCTGGTACCTTTTCCATAGTCGGGTTTAGTTTTGCTTTTTCTTATCAAACCAAGTTGGACCTTTATTTCATTCATATTTTGATATTTCTCCATCAAAGCATCTTTGAACTCCCACATCCTTTCCTTTTCTTTCCCCCTTTTCACACCTTATTCCTACTAGAATTTGCTATGATTAGAAACACATAATCTCACAGTTATTTTATCTAGTCAACACTATTACACGTGAAGAAGACAAATGAAGTATGAATACCCAAAATCATAACATTAACTATATGATCTTAAATTTTCACCGATAAGTAACAAAATAAAATTCAACAAATATGAGTTTTCTTTAGTCAAATCATCATCTTTTAATAATTTGAAACATGTTTTTTCTGTACTACGGGAATGGTCTGAAGAGCGAGTTAGGTTAAATGATAAAATGAGTGATCGTGAAAATAAAAATTGAAGTAGAAAAATCAGGTATTCAAAATGTATGAGTAATAACCGTAGAGTTGGCAAACCCGGGGGAACCCCCCTGCTGGTCTATCATCTTTGAGAGGGTAGTGATATTTACAAGTTATGGAACAGCTTGCAACTCAAGGTGTCAAGATGTTTGCTAGTTCCTTTACATACACAAGAACACAGCCCTGGCAACAGTCGGCCAGCTGGGTGCTTGAAGTGACGAGAAGCTGAGAAGAAACATTTTATCATTACGTTATATGTTAAATATCTTTTGCATATTCAACAAATGTGTCATGCTGAATATGCATGGTTGCTTTTACTATGCACTTAAGATCATTCAACATGTTTTCAGACAATCAATCTTATCTATTATCATGAGTTGTTTTAATGTTTATTAATATGTAGTTCAAATAGGATTTACCCTGGAAACAATTTCAGAGAGAAGTAAACATCATATTTACTGCTGTTATTCCTTTACCTGAAATCTTTTTGCTAAACTGACTTTATTTCTAAATATAATTCAGTGAAGTTCTGTACAGGGCTGAGACCTAACCCATTTCTTGAGGTAATAAATCCTGATGAAAATGTTCCAAAAAGGAAAAAATGGCTGATTTACACTCCACTTCCTAACATTACTGTTAAAAGCATATCCACAAAAGTTATGTAACCATCAGAATAAGAATTTAAACCATACCTCAAAAATTCATTTCAGTTGAATGAAAATGGATAAGTTTTATGAAAAATAACAATTAGATGGACTGAGAATTTTAATTCAATTAATACACAATCTCTTAGTACAGAAGGTAATGAAAGTATCCATGTTGTTCTTTTCTGTTAGTTTTTTGCTAACTTCTTCTTAGAATTTCATATCAATTGATTAATCTCATCTAAAAATGTTCCAGTTTGATTGTAAATTGGAAATAAATCTAGCTGTTGCTATTTGCATCGATATACTGACCCTATACATGTGTTGCACCTTGACAACAACTCTTAAAAGAAATAACATTTCCACTAAGCTCCAACTTTCCCCCATTCACTTAACATATTTTCTTCAGCAATCCAATCCCTAAACCTCATTCATCCTTTTTCTGTTTACATACATGAAGTGATCCCCACCAAAAGTGCTGACCCTAAAAAAAAAACAGTCCGTTCCAAGAATTAAAAAGAAGAGAAAGGAAAAAAAAAACCCTGCTCCACACTCCAGTCCTAATGAAAGCACTATATAACCCAGGTGCCAGTCTTCCATCAAGGTGCTCACAGGATCACTTCTGCATGATGTAACCTTTCCAAGGAATACAGTCTTGTCTAGAGCAATCAGCTTTGTTTTAGAAAGATGTCTGTGGATGTTAGCTTTACTGATGTGCTGTGGTGCGGAGAGAGAGAGAGAGAGAGAGAGAGTACTTACCCTGTGTTTTGACTTGCAAAGCATATAATTGATTGTATAAGACAGAAAACTCCTTTATGAGGTCAGAATTAATATAAACCTTTATGAAAAGATAATCTGCAAGATGGAGTTTTTAAAGGGGACAGCCAGCCAGCCAGCCAGACAGACAGACAGACAGACAAAGAAGTAGGGAAAAACTTAAAAAGATGTCACTACAAACCCATCTTCCCCTTTCCATTACTAACCCAGAATGATTTTAATTCTGCAGCAGCTTGAATCATTACCTCCATCAACTTGAAAGCAACTGACCTTTCCCATGCAGAGTATACATCATGCTAAATCAGTCAACATTTAACTTAAGCTTGTATAAGAGGGCGAGCCTCCAGGAAGTCTTTTCAAGCATGGAATCTAAATAATGTGAAACTGTGGGTAGGAAACAGAAACAGGAGCATTCCTCGAATTCCTCTCTCCATTTTGAGAAATTTACACTATCCAATTCCAACATGGGTTGCAGTATAGTTTCATTCTTTACAGCACCTATTCATCCAAAACTGTGCAATTCCTTTGAAGTTCCATCCAAAAATAATCAAAAAAACATTTAAAAAACACAATCACCAATCACTTGTCATCTCAACTAACACATCTCATAGAAGGTCACTCAAAAATATTACCTCACCAACATCTCATCCATCCAATCTCAACTGATACATTCACATTTTTTAACTACACTCACCTTTGCAGTCTGTCTTCCAGGCTTGATTTCAGGGTTGCGCTTGAGAGAATTTATCAATTTCAAAAATAGCATTGTATGAATAACATTTAACCCTGAACACACACTGCATACAACAGTGTAACTAGGCCTATTCTGTAGTGGGTAAAATTAAGGTATCATGGCTGATTTTGTAATTTTATAAATTTTCTTCTTCGAAAATGGCTGGTATAAACAACAAGGCAGCAAAGCTGTCAAATGTACAGACAAAGAACAGAAAATAAAGATGCAAATAAGTGAAAAATTAATTTTTCACAAAAAACTGTTAAATTGCCAGAAAAATTTACCAAACAGACTGCATTGCCTATTGAAGCTGTACTTTAGTGCCATGTTTCTTTCCTATAAGTTTGAGAACAGTAAGTGACATGATTTCCCTTAAATGGTCATCATAGGAGCAGTGCCCANCAGAAGATTTGATTTGAAATGACTCACTCTCTGTGTGAATTCTCCACCTGGGATGGGCTGGCCACCAAACTTGATATTGATGGTATAATCTCCCTGTGATCGCGGGGTGTAGATGATGCTGAAAGTGCCATCGCCATTATCCACAATGTCGATGTCAACTTCGGCCTCTGCCTGGCTGCTGATGCGACATGTGACGTTACCCTGACCTGCTTCCATGGCGCTGACGGTGATCACACACTCCTCGCCAACCATAACTGTGCTCTGAAGACCCTCTGTGGTAGTCAAATTTACATAGAATTATTTAACAGCAAATTTTTTATAACTACTTACTGTGTTTGGCAGGTGGAAAGGTTGACCGAAGTATTAAATTACGGAATCAAATTCTTCACTTCTTATGCTTTCTGATCTTATGAAAAGCAACAGTCGCAATAAAAGTAGCATAGAGAGCCAACAATGTTAACAGGTAATATTATAAGGTGAATATATTATTATTATTATTATTACAAATAATCAAAAACATTGGCAAATATAATCTGAATTAAAATGAACACTGTCACTCATAAATTTACACTTCCTACACACCTGAGATGACACACTTGGTAGCATCACCCACGGGGACAGCGTTGACCTCGAATGGAGAATTGGGGACATTGTGGCCACCGAACTTGACCTGGATGGTGTAAACGCCCAGGTCTTCTGGTACATAGGTGATGGTATAGGTGCCGTCACCATTATCCTTGATCTTAGGCTTCAGGTAGCTACCATCTGGGCCCTGTGATTTATAATAAATAACAATATTAAACATAAGATAAAGTAAACACATACTATCCAGAAGATGTGCATTCAAATTCAAAATCAGCACAACTCAATAATCTAAAAACAACTGCTTGTTATGACATATTAAAAAGTTGACAAGAAAAAAAATGCTGAAATTTTGTGTTCTTATCTTTAAATTGCATTTGTACAATTTCGTACTTTTGCCAATTATCAAACACATAGTCTGTAAATCTGCAAATTCATACTCTACAACATCTTTTTAAAATCAGTCAACTACCAGCTTAAAAGGACAAATGACCCACCTGGATTGCGACTTCCAGGTCAGCAATACCAGCGTCTCTGGTGTCAATGACAAAGGAGACTGGGATACTGGCAGGCAGACCACTTTTCACACCATCTCCCTCCACTCTCACCATGCTGGCATCATAGGCTGGCTGGACTTGGACGGTGCAGGGGCTGAAATTATACAGGTTGGGGGTGAATTAATTATAGAACGACCCTCGGGTGGTTAAACAAATATTGGGGGATCTTTATCTATTTGACTTTAAAAAAATGGAGGTAGAAATCATTGGTGTTACCTCACCCCCAAATAGATAAATAAAGAAATAAATGAAGATATAAATAAATAAAGATACAAATAATGCTTTTGAAAGGTCCAAACCAATGATAAAGATTATGCAACAAACAGTTGCATTCATCTCTGAGGATAAAATAATTCTTCCCATACTCTCATATCAAAGTTCGACATATCTATTTCAATTGATTAAACACTTTGAAATATCTTATTTATTCTTACTGAATAATAAAGCTCATACCTGTTGGGCACCTGTTCCTTGTTGTAGTTGACATCAATCTTGCAGGGTCCTTCCTCCAGAGGATGGTAGGTGACACTGTAGGTACCATCTTCATTGTCAACAATGTCTGGAACTTTCTTCTCTCCTGAAATATAAAGCAATGTCATTACAACTTCAGGACAGCTTAAGTGGCTGGTATAGAAGAAATAATCTATAATAGGTGGTGTCTATCTACCAAATTTTAATTTTGAAGTAGTTTTCTAAGTTAACCAGTCTGACTTGAAAAGATTAAGGTTCAGACTGTTTACCTGATACTAAAATATACTGGTTGGCTTTTATCTGAAGATTTCTTATTGTCAAGGTACCAGTCAATTCTGATCTAATGGATAATGACAGCAATAAGTTACAGTTACTGTAAGATAGTCTGGACTTATCTGGATAAGAGCAATTTCCTTTTGTATCAAAACTTATTTTCACTCAAAAAAATTTCATTTTGCAAAAATCCATACAATAACATACAATTGCTTGATGACTGTTCTAGGCCGCTTCACTGCCGATTTGGTCTCATCAGAGAAAAAGAATTCTATGGATCTTTACAAAATGAAACTACATATATAAGATCCAACAGGGACATTTGGACTTAATTTTTACCTGTCTTGTCAGTGTAAGTGACCTCCAGTTCTGCTTGGCCAGCCTCAGAGCAGTCCACAATGAATGTGCATGGCTGTCCAGCGCGCGGTGTCTCTAGACCTGGACCGTACATGCGCACTTTGCTTGCGTCAATGACATCATCGATCTTCACAGTGAATGGAGAGCCTGGAGATTTATAAAGATTATGACTTAGGGGATCTTTGTGTGTAACTGTTAGCATTCTCTATCAATTAAATTCGTGTCTCAGATGGTAAAAGTTAGTTTTAATAGCAGTTCTATTAAAAAGCTCAAATGATCCTAAATCTCACTCATTCTTCACTCATAAATATTGTATAAGAAAGCAAAAGAGTGACAGAAATCAAACATTGCTTTAGTGACAGAAATCATACATTGTAGGAAAAAAAAAGTTTTAAGTGTATAGCACGCTCCAACCCCCCCCCCCCCTACTCCCCCATATTCAAACAAGTAATGCATAAAATCCAGCACTTTTCATTTGAATAGTAGGTAACAGCCCTGGAAAGATGTATAACCTAAACGTATATATCATCCATACCTGGGATGTCCTGTTCAGCAAACTTGATGGTAATATCATACTGTCCAGGCTTGGTAGGCAGGTACTCCACAGAGCATGACCCGTCTCTGTTATCTCTACAGGTCATCTTGGCCTCAGAAGGTCCCTCAATGGCCAGTCCCAGACCACCTTGACCAGCACCTCTGGTCTCCACAGTGAATGTCTGGGGTTGGTTGGTGTTACCTCCCTTAAGGCCTGGACACAAAATATAGACACTTTTATTGTATTATAATATCAAAGTGTATCAGGGGCGGATCTAGAGATATTTTCTGACAGTCTCCCAAATTATCTTTGTTGATCCATCCTCCATTTTGACTGTCTTCTGACAGAAAACATACGATACACGTCAATGTTAACTTGAAAATCTGACCATCTTCCAGAAGACCCAGAAGACAGCCTAAATCCGCCCCTGTGTATGGTTAAACTGGTCACACTGTTAACATTTTATTCAGTGTCTAAATATAATGCAGGAATACAAAAATAATCCCTTATTCATTATACAATTATATATTACTATTTATTATTTATGAGGTGAGATAAAAACCAATTATGTAAATAACAAACATTTTATGATATCAAAGTATTTCAGTAAAATATGTCACTGAATTAGTTCATAAGATTAAGGCAGGTAAGAGGGAATCTGTATAGTGTCCAAATGCTCAGAGAAAATTCTAAATTTTTAACTGAATATAATGAGAAGCCTCATAATCATTTCTGTATAATTACTTCATGAGGATACACTTGTAAATAAAATAGTAAATCACAAAAGTGAAAGAAAACTGCTCAACACCCTCACTGCTGAGACTTACCTGGTCCATAAGCCTTGACTCTGGTTGGGTCACAGCCTGGCACCACACTGACTGGGAAGGGGCTGTTAGGGATGGTCAAGCCTTCATAGGTCACATCTATCTGGTGTGGACCTGGAGAGAAACACAAAGTGTTAATGAGGGGGGTGATGGTAAAAATAACACAACGCAAATGAGATGCCTCAAGTGCTTGCACTGTTTGAACAGCAATGTACTAGCACAATTCTTTTGTGCTTTATGTTAAATTTTAAAAGAAATGTACTTAACACTGAATGATGGTTTTTATATTCAGATGCCAGAACTTCAGTTGATCAAATTTTTGCTCTCATTGAATAACATGCAGTATTTTTCTACAATAGGTCACTTTAACTAAATGGCAAAAGATATATATATATATATATATATATATATATATATATATATATATATATATATATATATATATATATATAATTTCTTAATACCCACCTTTCTCATATGGTGTGTAGCTGACTCTGTAAGTGCCATCTTTGTTGTTGTTGACAACAGTGTCGTTCTTGGTTCCAGATGGATTGGTGATAATGGCGCGCACTTTGCCCTCGCCCACTGGTGTGACAGAGCGAGCATCCACTGTGAAGTCAGTGGTAGAATCCAGGAATACTCCTGAAAAAAAAAAAAAAAAAAAGATGAAATAAGAATTCGGTTGATAGTTTTCTTTCACATGCGGCCAAACCATGCACAACTCAGCATGCAATTACAAATTGGATGAAATACACTGTCTATGCTGCCATAAAAATATAATGCAAATCATCTTCATCATTGTAAAACTGTAATTCAAATGTCAATATATCACTTAACAGACTGGAAATGAAATGAAACTTGTCAAAATTTAACTAATAATAAATGTTCGGCAACATATTGGGTAAAACAGAAAGATGCTGACAGGTGACTGATACTTGGCAAGCTGAGTTGAGAAGCTCTACATTTGATATCAGAGGAAGTGTTTCAATCGTCAAAAGCAGAGCTATGTTCAAGATGCTTGCCAAGCATATCTATGGAGAACAAACAAAATCTAAACTTTATATGGAACACAGTCTTCAAGCTAAACGAAATAAACTTATAATATAAGAGAACAAACAATAACTGAACCAAAAAGCAACTTAGCAACACAAATAATAAACCAAATTAAAGCCAAAAATAAACAAGTAAAAGGAAAGGAGAGAATATATAAATTATTCAAAATTGGAAAAATGGGTATAAATCAACCTGAACAAAATCAAACTTTTTAACAAACTAACTTCATGCAAGAGAAAAACACCATGTGACTTCATAGACTATCTCATGGGACTATAAGGGTTCTTGAAATTGAGGGAAGAAGGGGGATCAGGGTGTTTGGTTTGCATCGTGTGGTTGTTAAATAATTAATTGAGTGAATCTTATCTTCAAACAATAAGCTAAGGGATCAAAATAATAAAAGCTAGCAGCAATTAAAAACAGGGAAAATTTGGAAATAGATATTATCACAGAACATATCCTCACAATGAATAATTTGGACTCTTTGCAATATTTTCAGGGATTTGAGACAAGATAAGTCCATTAAAGCAACATAATGTAACTCGTAGATTCCTGAAACATCAAACAATTGGTTAATATCAAAAGTACATAGCAAAATATGAACAACAATGGAAATCCTTGCTTGTTATTTCTCACAGCAGACAGTCTTTGCCATGCTTGAAATCAATCCATGCTGATGATCATCACACTATGTCATCAATTTATGCATAGTATGTCATCACTTAATGCTGATTATGTCATCACTATATGCAAGGTTTGTCATCAGTTTTTGCATAGCAGGTCACCATTCAAATAACAAGGTCATCAGTCTATGATTAATCTGTCACTTCATGCTGAAGATGCCATCAGCTTATGCAAGATTGCCACAAAAGGAATGATGTCATTCACCACAACATGATGATGTCATCAGTTTATGCCTAGCATGTCATCACTCCATGCTGACAGAGGAAGAGGTTGGTTACCAGTAGGCTGGATTCCTGGGCCGAATACTTTGACTCCACTGACATCCAACTCAGCTTTGCCCCTGGTGATCTTGGGTTGGAAGGGCGACCCTGGCACTGGCTTATCAGCAAAAGTGACATTGATCTTGTACTCTCCAGGCTCAGTGGGAGTGTATGTGACCTTGCAGGTACCATCCCCGTTGTCCTGGCAGTCGATTTTGGACTCACTGGGACCCTCAACGGTCAGGCCAAGTCCGCCTGGTCCAGCTTCAGTTGTGTCAATGGTGAACTCGTTGGGCTTGTCAGTTTCTCCCTTGGTCAGACCTTCACCGTACACCTTCACATTGCCAGACAAATCTGGTACCTCTTCAACTGGAGCCTGGGCCAATTCTGGAGCCAATGGCTTCTCTTCCACTGGGGTTACTGGTTTTGGACGCTCCACAGCATTTGTGCTAAATGGACTCTTAGGGATTTCCTGGCCGGCAAATTTGATTGCCACACTGTGTGGGCCTTTCTCGTTTGGTGTGAAACGAGCTGCGTAGCCGTCAACAGTCTCCTCAACGACTGCGAACAAGGTTTTGCCAGTTGGAGATGTCACAGTGACAGTGGGAGTGGCAGCGGACTTGCCAGCAGCAGCAGTAAGTATGTCAAATTCAATTTCCTCGCCAACGTAGATGGCTAAAGAGAGGTGAAAGAACAATTTAACCTGATCATACTTCTCACAGCTAAACAATAAAAGAAACATGTACTTGCAGGTAAAATCCATACAATTGCATTATTCTAATTATCATGATAATAATATTGAGGATCCTTCTGCTGATGGATAAGTCTCTCCTGGGAAGCTGGAAGACCTGAAGATAAGCACATTACACTATTACTTTTATCTGTTCATTTTTAGTTTGTCATTTCTGAGATCCTGCAAAATAAATCAACAGTACACATGTAGACCTCCTAAAACACTAAACACCTAAATTTGAGGATGAGAAAATGTATGAAAATCAAAAGGTCAAATCCATCTTCATCAATAAAATTAGTTTTGTTTGTTTAATGAAATCTTTTATATTTACCACTTCTGTATGAAAACCAGTAATAGGATCAACCCCTTTGTATTCTCTTTGTATCCAAATATTCATTTACAAAATTTATCACAACTATTAGTATCTTATTATAAAGATCATAAAAAAAAACAAACAAACAAACAAAATCTATTCAGAGACCATATAAATCCAAAAATAGATTTAAAAAAAGTCTATGTGTATATCAATATAATAATAGTATACAAATGTCCTGTATCCACTTACTATCATCCAGTCCATCCACAGTGACCTTGCTAACATCAATACTTGGGATGACATCCACTTTGATAGGACTGGTGGGGATCTCCTGCTCAGCAAAGAACACACTGACAGTGTATGTGCCCACAGACTTGGGTTCATACTCAATGGTGAAGGTACCGTCACCATTGTCCAGGGTGTTCACTGGCACGTCCAGTCCTTTCTCGTCGGTCAGGGCAATAGCCACATCACCTACAGAGAGATGAGGATAAAATTTAAGAGGACTAATATTCTGCTTTTTATTGCAAGGCATTATCATTATAACAGGCATTTCTTACTATACAAAACCAACAATTATATTGAATCAGATAATGACCAGGGCCTTTTCATAAAACAACTCAAGTTAATAACTGGTATGAGCAGTCTTCTAATAATTTCGAGCCCACCTAATTTATGATTTCAAAGAATCCTTTTTTTAGTTCTTTATCACATGGAAAATGTAAAAAATAACATGAAAAATCTAATCACAAACATGAGGAATCTAATCAAGCATCAATGTTCCTGGAACACTGTGAAATGAAGAAAGTAAATGTTGGTGACATCAAAATCTATCTGTATCTGGCCATCATGGTAGCTTTACCTGGTCCAGCTTCCTTGCAGTCCACAATGAAGTGGGTCTTCTCAAAGGTCTTGACCCCCTTGGACACACCAGGTCCATATACCTTCACCTTGGATGGGTTGCTGGGCTCCTTTACATAGACCTGAAGGAGATAAAGAAAGTATGAGAAAAATCTCTGCATGCAGTCAAAAAAAGTGCTAAAAATTATCTGATTTAGGACAGAAAGATCACAGTGACAAACAGATGACACAGTTACCTCAATATGGCCTCAGAATTTGAAATTCATAAATTCATATAGAAAATGTAAAAAAAAAAAAAAAAAAAAAAAAACTAGATGAAGAAGCCCGAGTCTAAATCAATCTTACCCTGTATGGGCTGTTAGGAATATTACATCCACCAAACACAACAAAGATGGTATGTTTGACAAACTTCTTGGGCATGTATCTGCAGCTGTAGGTTCCATCCTTGTTATCCACCACCTGGACCTCCACCTCTTTGTAGTCCTTGTCGTAGCACGTGATCTTGAGAGGAGCGCGACCAGCCTTGCGTGTGTCCACTGTGAACTCAGCCCATGAGTTGGCGACCACGCCGTCTTTCTCCAGACCTGGACCATAGGCTGTGACCTGAAGCAGAAAGTGTGGGCTAGTTTATGAAATATTAAGTTACTGGAGAACTACTCAACTTTAAAACTATTTTGTATAATGTATTTATTTCAAATCTATTTCATTACTGAGACAATCAGTCAAATGTGCAGTACGAGTTTCTATGTTATTTTACAATATTTTGTCTTGAAGCTGAAACACACTTTATCTAGGTTTGAAGGGGTAAAGAAGCTGTAGAAAATCGTTGTTATTAAGGGTTTTATTGACCAAGTACAAAATCCAATGCCATTTTTATGTTCATTTATCAGAAGAAAAGAGCAATCTAGTTCTTTGTGGCACTGTAGGCAATGTCACTGGTAGCAAGAAGAAAAATATGCCATTGGAGGCAATGGTATATAGAACTATGTCACTGGAGACAATGGCATGTAGAACTCTGTCATTTGAGGCAATGGCAAAGAGCTGCCCCTTACCTTGGAAGCATCATACAGATCTGTCTGTGGCTGTATCTGGGCCATGTAGGGGGAGTTAGGGATATCCTCCTCATCACACAGTATATGGACAGCATACTCTCCTGGAGCCGTGGGCCAGTAGGTCACATCTGCTGAGCCATCTCCATTGTCCTTACAGTCTATCTTGGCCTGGGATGGGCCTTCAATTGAGAAACCTGGACAGCAGAATTGGTAAAAATTATTGAAGCTATTTCAGTGATCAAAGGTTTGGACAGATACCTCAGAATCTCATATCAGCCAAGATATCATTTGCTTATGCATTTATCTAGGTCTGAGTGAGTATCAGAAACAAAAACTTGTAATAAAATAAATACCAAGATAAGGAGCAAAAATTTTAACTACTTTAGATTACTTTTACATTCAACTAGAATGTCCCGGATGAAAGACAATCAAAGTTACTGTATTGAAGAGCACATTTCTCCATTTTTCATCAATGCAGACTGGTTACTATGAACAGATATGTTACATTCTAATACAGAAAGGTAGCCTTCATTTTATATTACCTAGAGCACCAGTTTCTCCATTGGTCTCAACAACAAAGTCTGCAGGCATGCCACAAGTGCCGCCCTCTAGACCTGGTCCATAGGCACGGATGTTGCTCTTCTTCAATGGACCGACTTCAACCTGATCAAAATGGCAAACATGTATCCATTAATTAAATGATTAATATAAGACAAAGTATGAAAATACATGAAGAAGTTTCGATAATTTTGTAAAAATTGGGTTCCTTTAGTTTACAGCTAGGCTTTGGGCAAAAAGGTTGCTTAGTGGTCATGATTCAAACTTATCAAATTTAACAATTTACTTCATTACCAAAAAGAAAAAAAAATTGTAAAATCAAACAAACTATTTTTCTCAAAAATTAAACAAATTCTTAAAATTATCTTGCAAATAATCAAATCTATCATAAACTGCTGTCCATACCTTGAATGGACTCTTAGAAATGTGCTGTCCACTGAAAGTAATGTTGACCACATAGATTCCAATCTTCTGTGGAATATACACACACTCGTATGTGTTGTCATCTAACTTCTTCACTTTGCATGGCTCATCAATACCACCTGAAATGCACAGAGGGCACATGTTACCTTTTATTCAAAGACAATTGCATTCATGCTAAGTCAAGACGGTTCTGTCAGTGTCAACTCAAATATACAAGAATCTTAGCAATGCAGCCCCAGTTTCATATATAAACTGAAGTCAGTTCCCTGGCTTAGTTGACTTGGATTTCCATGAGAGCTCTGTAGCACTGCTCCTGATAGGGTAAGATGTGCACATGTGACCATGTATTGTAAGTAATTAAGTCCTGAAATATCTTATTACCATTCTTCAATATTCTAATAATATAAAGAAAAAATAATGAAAAAAAAAGACCCACTTACCTGGTCCTACGACCTGTACTTTAAGCTCTCCCTTGCCAGCATCCTTCGTGTGTACCTTGAAATCAGCATGGTCCTTGACACGGACACCCTTGGGCTGGATACCACGCCCTGTGGCGTAGCATTTCTTGGGCTCAACAGCTGGAATATGGAAGATTAATATGTACATAAAAGATATATATATCTTTTCTTTATGAGTATCAATTAATAAATAAAAAAGAATGTAACTTATCACCCTGATTCTAAAAAAATGTGTAAAATTGAAATAATTAATAAATAAATCTAAAAATAATAATAATAAAAGTGTGATAACAGCATACTAAAACTAATAGCAATAAAAACTAAATATCTGCATATCTCTTCCTAAATGTCTTGGAGGTTCCTTTTCAGTTCTTACAAATAAATAATATGCAACAATATTCTAATTTATGCACTTTTCTTACAAACAATAATTCATTCTTCAAGCCTTATATATCTGACATCGTGGACACAAGACAAAAATGTATTATAATAATTGCTATCTAGGGTTTCTGCAATCACTGGGCAATCAAAACTAAAATATTTATATCACAAAATCAAGCATTCACAGGCAATTTCAAATTTTCCACAAGGGGGTATGATCAAATCAAAAATTTATTTTAAAAAAACTAGATGCTATAATTTGATGCTTAATTTAGATCAATGTACAATCAAGATTTTTATATTTCAAAGGTCTAAAAAATCAACAAATGATAATCCACAAATGGTTTGTAAACCACTCTAATACACAGATATGTATAATTTGATACTGTATAACGGTCACGACATAATATGCCATTAACAATGTTTTTACAATCATAATACTATTGTTATCGTCAATATTCTTATATCACATTAATGGTTAATTAGGTTAAATTGTCAAAATCTAAAGCAAACAATTTTCATACACTATCTGTTCATTTGTTGGGTTACAGAATTACCACATTGCACTTTTCTCACACATCTAAGTTAAAATGAATAATTGATTATCAACTAAGTGAATAGTTTCAAGTAGACGTATTACGTTTTTATCATTATAAGTGGTATGAGATCAAATGGAAAAAAATTAAAATAAAATGTTCCACAGAAAAGAGAAAATTTTGTTCCCGTATTGGTAGAAAAATATCCACCAATGAATATAATTATCACATGGATGATCATTACCGATTTTATGATTCCAAAAAAGGTTTTTATTTGGCAAAATGTTTTAAAGATGAAAGATTGCAATCTTCTTTTCATTTTGGAATAAAATGTCCACAAAAAAAGTTAAAGTTTATTATTTCAAATCTTATTTCCCAAATCTAATACAAGAAAAAACATGGCATGTCCATTCTAAAAAATGCACGTTCAATCAAGGTTCGTGTCACACACTCATGCAGGTATGGCAAAATACTATTTATCTGAAATTTGTTTTGGGTTAGATTAGAAAATCACTATCATGGCTCTGGGCTCATTTTTATCTCATTCAAAAATAGGTGAAGATTGAAATTAACAACAAAAAAATTGATTTAATGAAGAAAGGAAGCATGAAATCGTGAAACAAGAGGTTATTTACATAGGGGTGAAGATTTGAATTTATGGAAGTTGGATTTAAGAGAGAGAAAAAAACATTAAATCATGAATAATGTAATCATGGAAATTGTACAGAGGGTTTGATTAAAAGATGGATTGATTAATCACATTATAACAGTACAACTACGAACAAAAATCGATTATTTTATCAACTGGACTATATCTTTCTTAGTCAAGCATTGCTTCACAATTCACTGGCAGGATACAATTTGTGAAGCACTGCCTGAAAAATCTAAAGACAAGTTGAAATTCAGGACAAAATATATGTAGGAAAATAGGTTGAATATGTCAAAAAAGCACTGAAAATTGGTGCATCAGCTATGTCAACTGTGAAGTGAATTTAAAATGGAAAGCTGGTGATATTTTATAGGTCATAAAGGCAACCTTATATGTATATATACTACCTGGAGGAGCTGAGAAATAAAAATAAGATTTTTTTTCAAAATGATTTCAACATAAACAAGACGAAATACAAAAGGTGTCCCACAAAACAAGCTAAAACAATAAACACAACAAACAACAAATAAGAGTGATATTTAAATCGGTTTCCAAAACATTAATATTCAATAATGCTGGTCAAATCCAAATTAGTTTCTCTATGCAAAATCTTATGCAATAGCAATTACTTTTTAAAACATACTACAAAACATACTAGAGGTGTTGAAATTTAAGTTTATGGACGGGATTGTCACAAATTTAGTAAACAATACTGTTAGAAATGCATAAAAATTCAAATGGACAGCACTATAGGCAATTCTTACTACAAGCCAATATCATCAATAAAAGTATGTCAACATAATTGTCAGTTCAGATGAAAATAATTAGGACAGTCTGACCCAATTATAATTGCAATTGGGTCTTTGTAACCTAGTTACTGAAATAAATAAGTCAATAATGACCACTTGACAAAAGTATCACACACCTGTACAAGTGCACATAATACCATCCATAAAACATTCCATGTGGTCTTCACTGATCCAATCCTCTATTTGCTTTTGTTGTTTTAAGTCGGTCAGCAATATACTGGGATCAATTTTTTCATCAAGATTCAAATATATACATCCATTTCGTGCATTCATTACATAAGAGTATACAATCCCAACATGTGCGTGTACTATGGTGAAAACTGTCAAGTGATCAATCATTGACCTTGATAACAAATTAATTAGGTCAGCATGACCTAGTTACCAAAGGAGGTCACCTTGCCCAATTTTCTACATTTTTTAAAAACACTTACGTGGTGCCACATTGACAGTGAATGGGCTCTTGGGAATGGGCTTGCCAGCAAACAACACGTTGACAGTGTGGACGCCTGACTCCTTGGGTGTGTATTCCACATAGAAGGTTTCCTCAGTTTTGGCAGTGATGCTTGGTTTCACAGTGTCCTTGTGACCATGTGGGTCAACAATGCTGACCTCTACATTGCCCTTGCCTGCACCTAAGTAGCACACAGGAAAATTCATTACAAATTGAAATCAAAATCCCAAATGAGAATTATGAAGCAAGATAAAAAATATATGAATTTATCAAAAATAGTAGGTGTAATTCTAATTGGGCTAATCAGAGTTTGAAAATAGAGCACAATATCATACAAATGGAAAAAAAAGTACTACTTTGTAAAAGATCAGACATATTGTTCTTTAAACGTAAGTCATACAAACCAAGTGATAAAGCAAGATACCTTTAGTGAAGACCTCAAAGAATGTTTTCCTGGTTGCCATGACACCAGTTTTCTCCAGACCTGGACCTGCGGCGGAGCATTTACTGGCATCGCCTGCAGCGCCCTCTACAGACACCTCGAATGGAGACTTGGGGATCTCTTTTGATGCAAATTTGACGATCACCTGAAGCACAATAAATCTTACAATGAATCACTATAAGCAATAGAAAGGTACAATTTCAATTGTGACATTTCTTATCCAATTACGGGATTGATATTTTGTCTTGGAAGTGTAAAGAAGTATACATCACTTTGTAGTATATTTTTGTTAATAAGAAATAAAATGTTACTTCAACATTCAAATGGGACTAATTCATGTAACATGACAGAACTTTTAAACATCGATTTTCAACTATGAATATTTGTATAAAGTCATATAAAAACTCATCTTACAATAAAAATAAATTTCTCAATGAATAAAAATGGGATTTCTATGTAGGTAACTAACTGGTGATGCACTTGTGTAGAAACATTTATATTTGTACGACTTTTTGTTCTATATACAGAACAGCAGATTCAGTTAATGGCAACATTCTACAGGGCAAACACCACCATTAAAAGAATTTTGTCAATACTATTCTGTGAGGGGAAAAAGACCAAACCATCTATTGAATTTTGCAACAAGTCTGTAGTTTTCTAGTTATATCATTGCCAGTTCTACTAACTCTGTATTTGCCCTCCATGGTAGGTGTGTAGCAGCAGGAGTAGGTCAGGTTACGGTCATTGTTGAAGACAACTTCACACTGAAATGACAGAAGAAATCCATATCATTTACTTTATTGTTGAGGTATAGCATAATTTAGGACTTGCATCTCTGTTAAATATCACAATAAATCTCAAAAATCAGTTGTATTTTTAAATGGATGAACTGAAAAGAGAAAAAAACACCAGTTTGATGACAACTTCATTCATGTTCAACTTTTTTGAAAATCATATTCCACATGAACCTTCACTCATAACAAAGTTTATACAAAATCATTAAAGAAAATTTTTCCTGGTCTTTTTGGACCACAAACAAAGTTGTCATCATACACATTTTTTTTTTTATATCCATACTTCGTCCATGTCAGGACCATCAAATATGGAAATAGATGGCAGCAGTGTACTTGACAATCTACTCAGTCTCTGGCGTCTATCCATCTCTAAGCCTTCCCATGCAAAATTTCTAGGAAATCCTACCCAAATTTATGACCCAGAACCACGAGACTCTATCATCTTTTGGTCAGAGAAGATAAGTGGTTCCATCCGTCGTAGCGTATCCAGGTATTTAATAGTCCACTTAAGATGAAAGAGCAAACCTTGCAACTAGCCAGCCAGAGCAATGCACATTAATAAAGTCCCTGTTATAATGAATTGTGAAGAACAGCATAATATAAGACACATCTTCAATAATCCAAGTTCCTCACACGGCATATGGAAATGACACACATACAATGTCATTATTATCCCACTTCAAAAACACCTTCTGAAAAGTATAGTTGGTTGCCAAATGAACAGCGAATGAGTATTTGGATCATATTAATTACATAAGTTATTCCCTAGGCACTAGTAAGACAATCCAGCAAGCAACAAGGCTAAATAAGCTAGATGGTATATGTACATGTAAGAACTGAGGCTAGACAAGTTTCCTCCAGCATTCAAAGAAATGGCAAGCACAACTACATAGTGTTTTATACCAATGCTTTGACACTGCCACTAATTTGATTTGGTCTTAAGACTAACAAATACAATGAACAACTGTCTCTTAATGAAACAGGTACTACAGACCTATAGGCTTGTATGTAGTACAGTCATTCACTGTGAGAAAAAAAGTATGGTTATTTTTCCTCGTCAGGCCATCACGTAACACAGTGCACTTTAAATTACGTTTAACAAATCAAGAGTGGTAAATGAAGTGCATTCTTTGTCAGGCTAGACACTGACAAATGATGACCTATTTCCAGAAAAGAGTTCTTTCATGATAACGCATATACCAGTTCCTTTCCAATGAAAAAGGTAACAGCTAGTACTTGACTATAACTTGACTTGACTATAACTTTATAGGACCATTTGCATGATGGAAGAAAATTATTAAAAACACACAAACAGAATACCTACGAAAAGATCAGGCGACAAGTAGCCGGTATTCTTAAAACAACCACTGCTTCCTGTTCATTTTTAGTGTCATCAGTTAATCCTGCTCAAGGCATGTCAGCCAAAGAAACAATTTTTCTATCACAATATAGCCAGATCACATAAATTCTGACATTCAGGTTACTGGGCTTGATAGGGGCAAAAAATACAGTGAAACATTTGTGAACCTGGAAATAAATTGCACCACTGGTTAAAATGCCTTTCTCTGAGCTTACCAGAACAACTCTGGTGAGAGTATTTTGTGAGAAAATGCCCTCTCCTCATATTACACGTTTGCTTGTAACTTCAAGGCAAACAGATCCTCAAGAAACAATAGGAGCAAAAGTTTTAACCTTATGGAAAGCAATGCAACAATGTAAAGTCACAATGGTGAGAAATACAGAAGTAAAAGTGGGTCTTTGAAAAAATGCAAGCATGGCAGGTGTGTGCTGCTTTAAATCATGGCTGCAGCATTCAAATATCCAGATTTCCAAATAAATGCAGATTTTTATCTCTAGAAATAAACCATCTTGCAGCTATCAGTTCTGGCAGCTATATTCCTTGCCAGCTGATAAAAAACATTTGGACTGAATGACTACATGCTTTGGACCCTATATGACTGGATACAGTATTCTCATTTATTATGTCAGTGTTTTACTACCTAGAATGAACCGACGCAAGACTGTTAAAACTGTGCACTTTGAGATTACACAAATTTAAGTAATGATTTTGAGTTGATATATAAATAAAAGTAGGCAAAACAATATCCTTTTGGAAAGAAGAAATATTGGCATAGCTGCAGTAATATGAAATTACAGATATACCAATATATACACTTTCAGGTTTTTAATATGGCAAAACAACCTATTATATATATATATATAATATATTCTTAATACCAAGCATGTTCTTTTATCTGTGCTTTATACTCACAGGTTCTTGAGCACCCTTAGGATTGAGGATGATCACTTCCACAGTGCCTCTGCCAGCACTGAATGTTTCTACTGTGAATCTGGCTGGAGCTCCAACAGAGTTGCCAGTGGGCTCAATACCTTAATTGAAAATGAACAACTTTTAATAACAAAAGAACTGCTTTACTGACACTTTCAAAACTGTTATACAGAATGTTCAAAATTTTGTGCACTTTCATTTTAGAAATCTCGCTGAATGATATTCAAAAATTGGGCACAGAATCAAACAGGTCAATATTCCAATATTTGTCATTAATGAAATCAAGAATAAGAGACAGAGGCTTTTTTCCCTTTAATTTAACTTCATCCAATTTCTTAAAACTTTTTTCTACAATTTATGTCTTCATCTTCTTCATTTTATCATTTCTATTCAATAACATATCATTCTTTGTATTTTATTTAGTGATCTTTTTCATATTATTATCTGCACATATGATGTCATACATCATTCTGTACAACAATTCCTTTACAACAAATCAATGACTGTCCAACACAAGCTCATCCAATAGACTAAAAATAGAGTAAACTTAAGGACCACGATAGTCAATGCATCAGGCGTAAAAAAGAAGATGATTCACCTGGTCCGTAAGCCCTCACTCTGGCTGGGTTAGTTCTTGGTCTCACTGGAGCTCCTGGCTTCAGCTTAGCATTGGGGAACTGAGAGAGGTAGGTCATCATACTGAGATCATCTACCTTAGGGTTACACATCTCAGCTGGCTTGATCAACTAGAATAATAATAATAATAATAATAATAATAATAATAATAATAATAATAATAATAATAATAGGTGGTTTGCTGAAAAGTTTGAAAACATATGTATGAATAATTATGTATATTAACATATACTATAAGTTATACTATAAAATATAACACATACTATATTGTATCAGTGATGATGAGACTGAGTCGGAATTAAAACCTACAAACTGATATGTAATCACACTAATTAAACTTGAACAAAATATGTTTCCTACTGATTTAATATCATCACAAAGGTAAAAATGGACGCATTTCTAATGCTGATTTTCTTAAAAGATATAATAATATAAGTTTGCAAAGGGACAAGTTTGGCAATAAATAAAACGTCATACGCTTGATTCATTGCATTAGTTGTGAAAAACAGGTTGATCTGTGTAATTGTGATAGCTCACTCACAATAAAAAATCAGAAACAGTACGTTTCCACCAGACTACAATATGGTTTATACAACATGTCACAAATATGGCATAATTTATGACATGACTGCCACTATAACAATGAAGCTGCTGCAACACATGCTGAATATGAATGAATGAGAGTATAGGCTGGAAGATGATACGTTTTATTAGTCTATTTCGGACAGAATATCAATTTCATACATTAATATGCAAGGGGAAGTAATTAATAATCACGGGGGTTTAATGTAGATATTTATTATGATACATAAATCTCAATTAAAGAACATATCCATTTTACATTCCAGTCTAGATATCCATCAGGTCCAAATTCTAGTTGAACTATTCAACTTTTCTTAAATAACAGAAATAGAAATAATAGCCATGTGAACTCTGGAAAACTGCCGTAACACCATTAAATGCTGGGTATTTAAGAGAAATGGTTTGATATTTCACCTTCCAATCCGTTATCTACATACATCCATATTGTGTTGCTGTTTTTTTTTTTTTTTTTTTTTTCTAAAGACTGATCATATCTGAGGAACATATAGTCTGATATTACAATCTCAAGTCAACAAATGTTGGCTGTTGGTTTAATGTTTCATATAACAATGACGTTATTCTTGCAAACAAGTAGACACTGCACTGTTTTAGCTCATAAGCTCTGTACATAGACAAGCATCATTTTTCTTTTTCCTCTGAACAGAGGTGCACCTGTGCCCCTAAGTTCAAATACAGTTCACCTTAGGTTAATATTACATTGATGTACAGTTATTTGCCTTTTTCTTATTCAACTGTTTAAAAAAAAAATTCAAGGCAGTTGTTTAAAACAAGTTACAACAATAGGAGCCTGTATATGAATTTTAAATGGCGGAAGAGATTAATGTGTTTTTTTTATATAAAATGCTCAGCAAAAACTAAGGAAGGAGCAGGAGAATTGTTTGAGACTGCAGCAAGAGCAACTATATTTAAAAAGAAGTGTCGAAATTTGGTAGGCAGGGAGACCATCAGGGGATTATGCAGCATTGCTATAAAGTGGGGTCAGCCAAATTTGATCTGCATAGTAGTTAGGCCAAGGATAATCTGTTGTGAATGCGACTGAAGTAATAAACAGCATATAGTTCCATTTCCACACAGTTTAGGACCATTATAAAACTATCAGCATATTCCTCTGTATTGCCCAAAGGTATACACTGTGTTCCCTTGTGTTGCCCTAAGGTACACACTGTGTTCCCTTAAGCCATCTGTCCTCAGACTGTCACAATGTGATATTAATATGCAGTGAAGATTATGAGTAACTTAATAATGTAAAGTTCTCATGAGAGTTGATGAACATGGACTGAAGTTCTGAGGACCATCTGTGACAAAATTTGCCTCGGGTTTTACCTTTGAAAGTTTAAGCTAGTATTTGTGTTTTGCCTCAAGTGTTAGTTTGGTTCATTTTGATTTTAACGCAACACCAATCTGATAAATTAATTTTTTTTTTCGTTATTTTTGCTTTTTTCATTATTTGAGCAATTTCCCTTTTTAACCCTTCATTTTTACACATCTTGTTCTAATAAAGTCTTCCACAGTCCCCATATCAAAATCAATTTGTTTAAAAAAATTTATCAAAAGGCTTCCACGTACTTGCTGTAGTCCTTCCAACTACACACATGGGCTATTAAAATTATCATAAAATTCAATGCTTTTTCACCGACATCTTCGGACATTTAGAACTAGTACCATTTTTACATACTTAAATAATCCAGATCTGATTTACATAACTCGCTTTAATCACCCAAACAGATACAAAGATGGCAGACAGACCAGCCTCACTTTGACATCTACAGGCAGTTCCAGATGTAAGGTAAAGAGGAAGTCATCTGCTCTGTGATGCAACATTTGATGAACTTCTCATGAGAACCTTAATGCAAACATCTCAGCTATCTTGTTCCTGAGGGGAAAATCTCCAGGTGAATCCTTTACAGCATTAGGTAATATGCTTGCGTCCATGTATAATAGGCATTCCCCCCTTTAGTAATCAATCAGAGACTTTGAGAAAGAACACTTACTGACAGTTTGGAGTGAAATGAAACATCAAGTATACTTTAACATATGCATTTGTTTCAATAACTGAAAATAATAATAAATATTGAAATTAAAAAATCCTTGAAAAATGTAATTACTTATTGCTATCTTTTGAATATTGGCACTAAGGAAATGATTCAAGAAAAAAAATTTAATATGGGATTTTGAATGAATTTTTTTTTTTTTTTTTTGTATTAATTGATCTTTAAAAAGGTTGATATTCCAGTTTCTTTTCTCTCTCTCTCTCCATAGCGCTCACTCTCTCTCTCTCTCTCTCCCTGCCCTTTGCAAAGATCTCACTTAAGGCAATTAAAATTACTAAGATGATAAAAGCTGCTGCATTCTAGGAAGGAAAATGATAACACTGGCCAAACCTCTTCCAATTTCTGTTCAATTATCCCATCAAAATGGGCAGACTACAGGTTTGTGCATAAAAAACACAGCTTGCCACCCACTCTCAAACATCACCTTGGCCTGGGCCCAATTTACACTGCTCACCCAAGTTCCACAACAGGTTAGATCCAAAGCGTACTTATGATAAAGGGAATGTTGATTGCATTACATTGTGTTGTGACCACAGCATGCAGCAAATCAATTAGGTTTTGCCTGACTGCAAGCAATTTTGTGACCAAAACTTTGTGTATCAACAGTTCTGTGGATAGTGACATCCAGATCTGTTCACACAAGGCCAGAACAGAGTGAATACGACCCCGTTCCAAAACATGTTCTGTGTGAACACCACCTTGCATCTTTGGAAGCTTTTTCAGCAGCTGTAGTGTTGATGTTGATGGGTTATTATATACCAGTGTAGTAAGAAAACTGCTTTCTATATAAGGCTTGGCTATACCATTGCTGCCTGCTAAACCACAGTTTGAAGATCACAGAACCTGCTTTATGGTGCTTGTTATTTGCCGACAAAACTACTTGCGGATGTAGTTAAAAGGTGTGTTGCCCAGATCATAAAAAGTTCTAATGAGGATAAGTGAACTTTTGCCAGACTTGTACAAGGGGATGTCATTGTGTTTTGTGTGCATGTATTTCTTTGTATACCTGGATACGTGTTTCATTTCCTATACCTGTATGTATATTTACTTCAATTATCTTTCTTTATCTCTTTCTTAAATAACTGTATCCTTACCACCATATCCAGTGGACTCAATAAATACATTCACATATACTTGGAAAATGAGCTGATTTTAGTACGATTTTTATTAATGCACAAGGTAACCAAAAGCAAAATGTATATGTTACCACAGCAGTTGATCTGTACCATAAATGTCAAAATGATAAGTCCAAGAATATTCAACTAAAGAAGTGTTCAACTTTGAGTAAAGGAAAAAAAACTCCTCAATCTTTCCACTTTAAACTTTTCATCACAACATTTCATCCTGTTGGATGGCACATGTCTCAGTCAGTTCATCTAAAGTGAAGTAATCTGGTGCATGACTCAATCACATTTCTGCGGGTAGTAAGTTTAATCATCTTTTTTTTCTGCTAGAAACCAAAGTCTGGGTGGAGGTTCTTCTAAATCTTAACTGAGGTTTTGTTTATTTTGTTATCTGGCAAAACAGGATTGCTTTCTCTGCACATTTTTAAAATATTCAGAACATATAAATAAGATTTTTTTTTTATTAACATGAGGCGACAGGGGTAAAAATAGAGATGTAACTAATACTATCAAATGAAACTGAACTATCCTATTCTAATATTTGGTCATTCAAATCAAAGCATTCCACAGGTAATGGGGAATCCAGTGTAGTTTTCACCTGAAGTACCTCACATTTGACTTACTGTGAACTTTTCTCCCTTATCTTTTCACAGGTACCATATGCATGTGGCAGTGTTCAGACCTGTCTTAAATCAGAACGATGTTAGACCTAAAATGTGTCATCAAATTATCAAATGGCTTCATAATTCAGAGAGAGGATTTCAGAGAGCCTACATTATTTTATAATATTCTAGCAGAAAATCAGTCTGAAAGTGCCAAGCCACTTTCATGTTAAAACAGTATTAGAACTGGTTGCTTTCTACAGATATGCATCTAAAAGAACCCTTGACTGTTGGTGCATCAAGATATGACATGCAAATTTAAGGAAAATTAAATCAAAATGTAACAGTTCTAACAAATATTTTTCATCTTCATAGCTGTGCTTAAATTTGGCTAATTGGGTTAATATCATATGGAGTATTTTTGTATCTATAACCCCAGCTTCATAAAAGCATACTGGAACTGTTTTACTACAAAATCTGAATTTATGGTGAAATTTGCTTGTTTTCTTGTTATGCCCTCTGTAATTCTATATTTTCATCCTAAATTAATTTGTTAAATATAAAGATTGCATTCATATATATATATATATTCTACAATCCAAAACTGTAAGAACGGCAACATTCCAAAACATTTTTTTTCACTTTTTGTTTATTTCAGCACATTCAAGGTCACAGAGATTCCCCAACTTTCCTTATCTTGCAGACATATGCTGGGAATGTTTCTGCAATTAGCTGCAAGATACAGGGACCATATCTACCTTTCTCTGCCTATCTCTTTGCTTTTTCATGCGTCACGAGGTCACGGGCCAAATTACTTAGAGGATGAAGACCTAGATAGAGAGAGTTCCATGCATTTTGATGATGGAGTAGTGCAATTTTGTAGAAATTAACCATCTCATTATTAACTGATAAAAGAAAATATGGTGAAAGAAATGCTGTGTCAGATTTAATTGAAACATTTGTGCTAATAATTGATATGTTTTGGGAAGTATTCCATGTATTGGAAAATATTCCAAATCAATGGCTGCAAAATAGAAATTAACATTTTCATGTCAGCATTTTCCTCTTAGACTATTTTTTCAATTCATTTTTTCTTTTTCCGTGAATGTGCTTTAGAAGTTTTTCTTTTAACTTTTTGGCTCAACATGAAGGAATAGCTCAGGTTTAAACTGATTTTCACACACACCACTCAAATGATATATTTTCAACCAGGTTGCAGATTTTATGTGTATAACAGCAGGACAGCAGGCACTTGAATATCCCACTTTCCCACTATCATCAAAATCATTTAACACCAAGTATCACCTGTGTAGTTGAGATGCCAGCAGTAAAGACCACTACACCTGCCCTATCAATATCAATAAGTCTAATATAAGCAACTGACAGTTTCATCTAAGGTTAAGGATTTCTCCATCTTCATTCCAAGCTAACAGATCCCATAATATTAGGCCTCTTAGGGATCAATGTTCCTTAAAACCTATGATAACTTCTTCAAAAAACACCAAGGAATTTGACAGAAAAGTAAAAGATACTGTTCTGCAGGCCTTTTAAGGTCCCTAAATGACACACTAGGTTCCAAATGAAAGAGTATTCGTTATAAAAAAAAAAAGATTCACATTTCAACCAAGCCTATCATTTGCACAATTCAATTACTTTACCCAGCTTAAATGTATTGCTTCATATATCACATTGCTAATGGGCTCATTCACATGTACTGGAACACAGTACAATAGTTACTGGAATCTTTACATATAACTGTAGTATAAAGTCACTGTGACAGCATGATCAGGTCAAATAATGTTTGTTAAAGGGAAGCACCATTTTCACATTTCCCCCTCTTATATATAAGTTGTAAGATATTGTGTGAACACAAGCTTAATTTTTTTTACTTCAACTGTTCCCTTAACAGTCAAAAACCAGTAACAACTGGACAAAAAAATTGCTCCAGCTTGCAGCATAGTATGCTTAGAGTAATACAACCAAAATTTCCTTTATCATAATCACACATTGAATGGGTCTAGTGTAAATGCATTAAAATTCCTTGAAACTTTATCAACATTTGGGTTGGGCAATACTACATGCAAAAGGCAGAAATGTCTTTTGATAAGGAAGGAAAATGGCCTCAAGTTAGCGAGCATTTACTTATGTCTCTGGATAATTCCAGTACAACAACCAACAGTATTCTTTGATCTAGGTACAGGAGATATCTTGGAGAAGATCTTATATTAGAGAGAAACAGCAAATTTTCTAAGTGATATAATTAATATCTCTTCCAAGCACAAACAAGATAATTATATCAATATTTTAAAATTTAATAATTTTTTAGTTCAGTGGACAAGGGCTGAGATTGTATTTAAAAATAGTCCTGGACTGGTTTTCCATGAGTGGAACATAAGTCACTTTACTCCAAGAACTAACAGAAAATCAGGATAAGTTGTTTTGAGCTGTTGAACCTTTTATCAGGACTGTTTTTTAAGCCCCCGCCCTGCCCTGGGCCAAGGACAAAATTGGTTTTATTAATAAATTTATCAATCATCCTTGAGTGTCAAAAAAGATGAAATAATCAAATTTAGTTCAACAATTATTACTGTAAAAATGTCCCCATTCTCTATCAATGTTATCAGCTATTTCCTTACGTAAAAAATTGAGTTGCATTCTTTTTTATGTGAAAACCTTAACATGATACTGTTGTCTAAAATCAAGCACTATTTATAACGAATATCGGGGAGGGCACCCGTCTCGTCTACATTCAATAACCTTTAGACGGAGCACAACGCTGGTGAATAAAGCTGTCTGGTATGGCTTGATAATATTCACTGACCTATATAGGAGATGTGATGGAATGTCCTGCACCATTATGTATGTAGATCACCATGTGTTATACACCTTGGTCATACTAATGCACCGGTGTCAGCGTGCCATTGGAAAGCTGTATAAATATATTGTCATAGGGATGGTATGGGTGTTAGCGAGTTAGTTTTAATTATTTTTTTCATATTCAAATGCACTTGTACACAAGAAAGTTTGAGTCATCTAGAAATATTCTCTGTGTTAATCTGTAATAAAGATCATTGCTTTATTAAAATAGGATGTTTTTATATTTCAAATTCCATCTTCTATTTTTCTTTTATTTCATCTTATGTATCTTAACTATTATTTGGTAATATTTTTTGGTTGTATACATCAAAACGTATAACATGCACAAGTCAACCTTGAAATACATTCCAAGTCATAATGTCAAGACAGTGAGTGTTTGATGCTGAATGATATATATGAGAAGGTTTACTTTAAATTGTTTTGCTGGACTTTTTGACATAGAAAATGTCCCAGGTATTTTAATCAGTACTTAAGGTGCAATGAAGATACATGGTGGAAACTTCACACAGATTGTCATAGTAACCCTCAATTGGACTATGGTTGTACACATGACAGTCATGTGACCATATACTGTCTCTTACCCTGTCAATGCATGAAATAAATTGATGACGATCAAATGTTTTTTTGTTTTGTTTTGTTTTGTTTTGTTTTGTTTGTCTTTTCATTTCCCCTTTTGTTTTGACTGGCAGTACTTTTAATAAAATAAACAATTTGTAAATGGCACTCATTTCTGTTCTTCTATGTTCCCTATACAAATGTGGAATAAAAAAAGTGTGAATTTGTTCATAAAAATATTTTCATTGCTGTTCCTTTGTAAATGGAAAAAAGACCTGCTGAGGGGGAGGGGGGGGGGAAGAAAGGGGGTAATGCAATATATATCTCACCTGTGGCACTCCAAGATATTTCTCTGCAGCTTCCATGGCCTCTTTGGCATTCTCCACAGCATTTTTGGGGTTCCAGTCTTCCCAGTCTGGGCACAGACCTGAAATATGCATCAAGTCATTGTGTTAGGTGAGCCAGTGTGTTGGAGAATACCTTATATTATACAATACATAATGCTAGATGTGATACTGTGTTTATGCTGCAGGGAAATTAGCTGTGTTTATATGTGATATGTACCGTCTTCTATATTCCCCTCTAATAAACATGTCGCATTTTTGATTTTATTTTTATTTATTTACTTTTTTTTGCTCTACACTCATTTAACTTTAATCTCTTCAAGATGTCTTTTCAGACTTTATGCAGATACTTTTGTAATGGCATATGGGATATTTTGTATATGTTCTGAGTTTGAAAGATTAAGTCATTTGATAATTGGCTCATTCCTGTGGTCACTCAGCTTTTTGTCAAGCATAATATATCCCTACTTTTGTATGTCATAACATTACCAATATATCACACATAATTTAACATAAATCTTTACTCTTGACAGCACACACCACACATGTATTATTTATATTATGTGAACAGAGCAATGATTATAACCTCCATAGTTGAAGAGTATCAATTATACGCTTGATTTGTTATGATGAGGGCACATTTGATATCCTTTCCTCTTCATAACACATAAACGTAAATCTGTTGAATTCTTTCAACAGGGCAATCTTTACAACCTCCACTGCTGAAGAGCACCAACCTGGTCCCATAGCGTCCACCAGAGCGCCAATAGCGCGGCCATCATTCCAGTCACTGGTAAAATTACTGATTGGCAAATCTGGAACTTTTCCTTGAATCCAGCCGAGCAAACGCTGTTTGGGTGTTGGGCCTGAATATAGCACAAAAGTTTTGTTTAAAACCATGTGGTAACAGCTTCAGTGACATATTAATATATGTGATGGGGCTAAATTTTCAAAGGTTTGTAATTGCTCCTGTGCTGTGTCATACTTTTCAAGTAAATCTCAAATGAAAATTTCAACTTTTAAGCATATATCTTTACAAGCAAGTTACAAACCTTTAAAACACAACCCCTGTATATATATATATTATAGGTGTACATGTGTCAACAACACAAAAGAGACAGTGTGCAAAGTGCAGAAAATATTTCAAGGACAGTGAACACGTCATACCGAAAGATAAGTGGGTAACACAATAACAGCTAAACATTAGTAGAAATATAAAGAATAAGCTTAACAATTCAAAAGTCATAAACTTAAAGTGGAAATAGTGATAAGATAAAAGGAAATTTATAAAATAAGATTTTTAGAGATCAGGAGAAAACTACATGCTAAGTTTAAGAATACTCTAAGAACTCCGCTTGACTATTGTAGCTGAATGCACCAAACACAACTAAATTAGCCAATCTTCAGAAACCAAATGAAAAGCAAATTGAAAATGAAAGTGCCTAGCAAATTATGCTTGCAACATGACCTGTGAGTTAACTTTCTTGTCATACAATCAATCATGCCAATACCAATATATCAATTGCAAGCAAATCTGCTACATCTAGTCTCTATTACTTAGTCTACATTTTATAATGCTGTACACGAGAAGCTTAATAATGCATGCTATTTACTATAGCTACTTGGCTAGATACATTATTTCTTAATTTGTTTGAAATATTTTAATATTAAAATTATTAATTAAAATAGTAATTAGAGATATACCAAAACTGAGAAAATTAAAGAAAAATGAATTCAGTTATGTTAAATTCATGAATTTTAGATGTGAGAAAAGGAATGTGCTACAAGGTGAAAAACAGGATCACACTTAAAATTAATTGTTAGTTTCGTTCAAGAAAAAGTTGAATACCAAAGTGGATTACCACTTCCATTCATTAGTATAAATGATAAATTTTAAAAAGTTTGTAATTTTTTTAGGTCTCGTTCTTTTGAAAAAGTACTTTTCACAACAGCAGTTGTAGATAACTGAGTAAAACACTGTTAAAAGCAAAATACATAGGGAAATATTATTGACGTGACATCAGTGCACTATCATTTTTAAGTTCTATGCAGCAGTAACACACTTTCATTTATAAGAAGCATAAAACCAAACTACATCATACAATTAAGAAATAATTCCACTGTGTTTATGATATATTTAAATATAATATGTACACAGGTATTATTGCCTCTGTTTAGCAAACTCTTACCTCCTCCGCCATCCTTTTCTACATGCATGGGAGAAAACAAATTGATACAAGCGGGTTAAAACAAATGCAGCATGAACTTTGGGAAAACAGAAGTGTCCACTGAGCTCACTCTGATATTATTATTATTATCTTTTTTTTTTTTTAATTATTTAGCCATTTGCTTTAAAAGCTACAGTCGTAACTATTTTTAGATGTACCAAGTGACTAAAAAAATGCTGTTTTTATCCAAGATATTTTTTTCCACAGAGTGGGATGGGGCAAAATTTGTCAATTATCAGTTAGCATAACTGTAGAGAAAACTAACATGAGTGAGCCCAGAAAATAAGCATTCAAAAAAAAAAAAATCCACATCATTCATAAGAAATAAAATCAACCATCATTACCATACACTAAATACAGTCTGCATTCAGGACAATAATTTTCGCAATTACTCAAAAGAATGCAATGAATTTTAACACATGCCTGTCTGCAACTGAAATGCCAATCAACAATGAACCGTTTCACAGAAAATTCAAGTCAAATCTCATGTCAGTATATAAGCAACTTGACATGCATTTTGAGGTTAAGGATTCAATCAACATCTGAACAGCAGCTACTTAACTCGGCAAACACTTTACAGTTCCCTTAAGCTTTAATAAGCCATTCAAACAAGTTAACAAGGATGTGGCCTTAATAATCAATATACTATTCATTTCCTTCTTCACTTAAGTGTCTTATATTACAGCAAGAGCATATTTGAAATTGTCTCATGATCAATTTAGAAAAAAAAAAAAAACGGTAAAGCATAACAAATAACAAAATCACAATTCCTCTGGTATCCTCTGCACAAACAATAAAGTTAATTCCCTCCATAAAATCATTTTATATAATTAAATTGTTCCAATCATAAATTGGGATCCTTGTATTCCATGCTTCCCCTTTTTTTGAGCCTATCTCCATGATGATAAAAATGAAATGGTAAATAAAAACAATGTGATATATGACTTATATATATATATATATATGACGTCTCTTCAGACTGGGGCACTCACCTTCCTTTCCTCTCTTCTTTCGATCCTCATCTGGCTCGTCGCCCTCCCACATGGGCATTGAGATAGAGTAGTGGAGAATGAGGGTCCATATCAAACCCAGGATCAGCTTCAGCTTCTTGTCCACAATATCTGTACTGTCTGCAACACCAGATACAACATATTAAGTAAGGTGGATGTTTGTGAAAATTTCTACATGATGTTATGTTTGAAGATTAAAAAATATCTTTGAAATTGCACTTGTAATCTGTGTGTGTGTGTGTGTGTGTGTGTGTGTGTGTGTGTGTGTGTGTGTGTGTGTGTGTGTGTGTGTGTGTGTGTGTGTGTGTGTGTGTGTGTGTGTGTTCATCTTCATCTACGTTCAATAGATACGATCAAAAGACATTATATATAAATATATTTTTTTAATTCAACAATGGCTGGAATGCTGCATGATTTTCAAGAAGAAAGTATGCACATTTTTAATTACACTGTAAAAATACCAACTTCAATTATTGCCGCATTTCCAATACCCACATGATAGTATTTAGAAACCCCTTCACTATTTAAAGTATTTATTTTATTGTAAAAAGCCTGTCTGATAGGAAATATATAGGCGTATATATTTCACAATGAAGTCCCATCCTCATAACACAAGAAACCACTCAGCACTCAGGAATCTTTTTAACACCCAGGTTCTACCTTAGCTGAAGTCTAGCTGGGAGACATGTCGAAAATCAATTGGTGCTGATACCTAATGAATCATTTTTTATCTACCCCACTGCTTGTCATCAATTTAAATACTAAGCACAATTACTCTTTGGAATCAACTTAGATTTCTTCTACTCCCACTTGCAAGCTACCAAATGAAAAGTAGTATTGAATTCACACCTAACCATTTTTTTTTTCATGAAAAATGCCATCTTAGTTAGGAAAGTATCATCAGTAACCTAGACTATATTTCATCATGTTTTTTATCCAAAGCAAAGGAAGCCAGTTCCTTACCCAGATAGATGGAGAATCTACATGTAAACAAGTTTAATGACTGCTCCACCAGTCAGCTTTGCCATTTAACAACAAAAACAAACTATAAATCAGTCATCTCTATGCACAAAGGATTAAAACTACCACAGTGTTTAGTAAAATATTCTAAAATATAGTTTGCATCTAGCCACAAAATCTCAGAATTATCTTAAAGGCAGTAAAAAAAAATTCAGGTTGAAGAGGGAGGGCGAGAGGTCCTTCACAAGATATAGTTCAAATAAAACTTAATATGATGACAAAATATTTTACTTTAACCTCAAACAAACGAACACAAAAAAGTCTGTGTGCATAAAATATATAGAGGCATAATCAGTATTCATGGGGCGAATGCATCTCAAATAGAACACTTCTCCTATTCTATATTGTATCTACATGGTGTAACAGTGATATAAAACTATTTTCATTGCTTCCATCCTGTCTGTGTAGATAGTATTTATAATTCATAAAATTATTGAAGTTTGGTTTAGGATGTAATTCAGCTATTGAACATAAATCTCTTTGTATGAAAAAAATGGAAAATGTGTGTATTGTAGTCTGTGCTATTTTGAGATAGATTTAGCTACAGTAAAAATAAAAAGTCATTTTTTTTCACTAAAATATTCAATCAAACATAATTCAGGCGATAATTTGGAAGACTGTCAGAAAATATCTCTGGATCCGCCCCTGTAATTTGCATTAGTTTGAGAACAGTGTCTTTTTCTACCACAAGAGGTCACTCCATATGCCAAGGTAAAATCAACTGGCACAGGAAAAAATAAATATAGGTTGATAAACAAACAGAGTGAATAAATCTAAGATACTGCATTCATAACTGTACAAAGGTGAAAGGGTTGCAAGGGGGCGAACTCATTGATGATGCTGTGCTTATCAGAATACTTCAAATATTTGTGATTTATCTAAACAAATTCTCTTTACAAACTAAATTCAAGGCAAGAGGAGTGCAGATAACACTGTGACACTCGGACTTTTTATTTAATTTTCTGAAGTATGCCTGACCTTGTAAGAAAACAACCAGGTTGAAACACTAACACATGCCCAGGATAGTATACACATAATGTAGCTTGGCAAGTGATGCCATGTCTTCAACCAAAGATGAAGGGGCTTTTATTCTATGTTTTTTTTTTTCTTAACATTCCCAGGAGGAGAAAGTAAGGATAAAATGCAATCTGTCAACATCCTTTACTGCAGCCAATATTCTCAATTCAGATTTTTTCATAATGATTCCCAAGTAATAATATCTATCCATGAAATAAAAACCAAATGACAAATGATATGATAGTCGTTTGGTGGTTTGTAAGAAAGAGGGGGGAGGGGAAGAGTTAAGTTTTCTACTTCACAAAGTTAATTTCTTTTAGTTTTTTATTTCTTATTTTTATTTTATTTATTTATTTATTTATTTATTTTTTATTTTTTATTTATTTATTTATTTTATTATATTTTTTTGCTTACTACAATTCAACAAATTTTACATATGGTATTATTGAACCCAGGTCAGGTTAACAACTTCTTTTTAACCACCCTGCCTTTGCCAATGCCACAGCCTACACATATACAGATCCACACTGACCATTAATTTAGTGGTCAGTATGGGGTCAGTCAGCATGGCATTGCGGTCAGTATGACATTGTGGTCAGTGTGCACTGTCCAGGAGTGAGTCTGACCCAGTGACCTTTCCTGTGGCTGCATTATAACCAGGTATGCTGCAGACACACATGTGGTGTTTACATAGTACACAGGTGACTGGTTTTGGTAATGAGATTAGGATCAATGAGTTAATAGCTGGGGGTTGTCTGGAGTGCTGCCCTCTATGGCCAGAAAAGACAAGACAGGCCCCTGGAATTTGTAACTGTACTTACTGGCAAAGCAATAATTCCAGATATGCTGATTATAACACAAGATTCACTTCATAACAAAGTTTTACATATTTCAGCAGAACAACATTATAATTAAATTCAATAAGCGTCTAAAATTGCTTTAAAATCTTTGGATTATTAAAATTATTATTATCATCAATTTTCACAGCTTGGTCAACCTTGGATATCATTCCAATATTCCACCTTTCACACATGTATGGGACATACTAACAAAGATCCATTCAAATCCAGTCATTCACAAACACTAGCTGTCAGTAGCACTACTGAGGCATATCACATTCATGTTCAAGGGGGAACTCATATATCCAATAAAGCGTTTATCTAACTTACTCCCATTTTATCATACACATATGATACATTACATATTAACATAGTCATTAAACCAACACCCGACGACAAAACTGATATCATCACTTCCTGACAGCCTCTAACAATGTTTTACAGCCGTGTCTCAATCATTATCTCATTTCAGCTAATATCACTTAAAAGAGAAATCTTGACATTGAGGGGTCGAATCATTCTAGAGCAGCATCTTTATCTCCTGCATACAAACTTTACTACGAATAAAAACCACCACCCTGATAATAATCTTCCTACATTGTTTCATAGCCTTGTATCTGTTCACAGTACTGTTATATCAAGCTGAAGAGCAGCTAAGTAGGCTAATTATTAACCCCTTGATGGGAGTGGGCTCCTTGTAGTAAGCTGGGTTATCTGTAGGACAGCAAGTGTCATGTCGTGGCATTCCAGTGTTATCTGGTAGTCTACACGCAGGCTGTGTGCGTGTGCGGAGATGATATGATGCAACGGGGATTGTTGGGGTGATTTTAAATCATGCATTGTGCTAATTATGTGGATTAATGTAGAGTTTATTATTTTCATTTATTTATTTATTTATTTTTGTTATTTGTATTTTTCATTCATTTTTGTTAGCTTGTTTTTTTTTTTAATTTATTAATTAACCTATTCATTTATTTACCTATATATTTTCTTGTTTTGTTTTTTTTTTCAATTTAAATTATTTATTATGTAAACAAATGCTCAGTCTTCCTCACAGGTCACTGCGACCTAGTAGCCTCAAGTTGCACAACAGAATCACTGCACAGTTATGATCCTGGAACATGCAAGCCACCAGGCAGTTATTGCACAGTGGAGATATTATATCATGGTGGATCAAAGAAATAACTGCGCTTTATGTACGACACAGGAGAAGGAAAGAAGTCACAAAATAATCATGCTGTTTTAATCAAATACCATCCACAACCACACAGTGACTTCCAGCCATGAAATCTTAATATTCAATCCTATAAAATAACATCATTTTTGCACCTGTTTGGGTCAACATAACACATGAATTATCAATATCACAGAAAATCACTTCCCACAAACTCGTCTTATCTCAATCTTGACACTTCCTGACCAACAACTGTTTCACCACCACCACCATCACACCAGGGATTATCACACCTCTACAAACACACGTGCACCTTGATCACCATGTATGGCAGTATTAATGACTTATCAACATAAGCAGACTCTTTTCCTTCCTACACCTGATACACAGTTTTGGTTCAACCCACTTCCTCAATGCTGACACAACCTTTATTAACATTCCAGACAAGTGTGTTATGTCATATGTTGAGATAAGCTCTCTCTCTTGGAGTGTTTTCATATCAGCCAGATAGACATATATTTCTGTACCATTTTCTCTACCACTGGTAGCTTATTTTATCAGCCAGACAGGTATATAATTGTATATACTAGTATTGCTTCTTCTCAAATGCTGGCAACATCCTCACTCTTACTCATGCATGCGTTCTCAGAATACTCATAAAACAGCAGTCCTGTTCCTTAACCAAATTGTTTTGGGACCATTTCCAGAAGGCAGATATATATATTCTGAATGCATTTAAATACCCACGTTTTTAAGAGTTCTAATTTGCCACACCAAAAAAAATTGACTAATTTATAAATGCATCTGTCATTTATTTACAGAACAATACAACCAAATGATGACCTTACTATACATATTTTTTCCGAAATTGGAAAGTAAGGCCTGTTCACACCAGAACTAATATGCACCTAACATAGCCTAAGACCAATAGCTGGCATCAAATGACATAAAGCCACCATCAAACCATAAGCAATAGTAATCTTCCATATGCACTACTCAGTTTAACTTTTATCCCATCTAAGCTAGTCCTGATGTAAACACACCCAAAGTCTGCACCCAGCACCTGTTTT